TAAAAGCGTGCTCCACACACAAAAGGACCTATAAATTATGAAGAGAAAAATTAATTTGCCATCAAAAGTGCATCCATTTTTTTGGGGTACAAAAAAGTGCATTCAAATTTATACATATAGGTTGTCTAGCATAAGAAAAATATAGAGAATGCAACTAAAAAACTCACTTGAAGTGACAAGAATGAGAGCAAGAGCGCAAACTATAACTTGTGCTTTTTCCATTTTTAATTGAAAAGCAAATGCTATAGAGAATTATTGTTTTTTCTATATAGAGAATATAAAATGCTAGCTTTAATTTTTGTGTGATATCAGTAGACTCTTAGATGTGTGTGTATATATAGATCTCAATAGTGTGGTTGGTAGGAGTCCCCTTAAAAGTATGAGCGTTAGATTTAAGTAGCTAACTTGTCTGCAATTAAGAAAATTCTATATGGAGATTAATATTAATTGATCATTTTCTATATTGGCTCATGGAGTTATGGTAACATAATGTAAGGAAGCGTGATATATCTCTTGGTATAGTTTATATGCACTTGAAAAATTCTACCTGTTTATCAAAAGATACACTCCAACTGTATACAATTGTCTCTCCACCGACAGTCTTAGGTATAGATAAAACGATTAGAGAATAGATAAAGAAATGTTATAACTTTAAAAAAGAAATGTTTAAATCACAAATAACGCCTCGATCTCCACCACCAAATGGCCGGCATATCCCTATCATGACTCATTTATATACTCCGTACTTCTTGAGTCCCACAAAAAAATGTTAAAATTACATGGGGTGAGCAAGTACCGAATTGATACCGAGATTACCGAACCGAAAAATACCAAACCGATAAAATACTGAAAAAGAATCGTATGTACCATACCGTACAGAATGGTCGGTCCGGTATTTGGGATCGGTACGCGGTAACTTCCCATATCGAAAAGTTCTGAACCGATCGAACATATATACAAATACGCTATAAAACTAACAATGTTTTTATATTTCTTCGATAAAAAAATAAATTGATTTTGAAAAATTGGATGAAGTGTAGATGAATTACAAATAATATTTTATTTACACATACTTTCTTCATTAAAAAATATCTATTTTAAAAGTTGTAACAAATGCTTTTTTGAAGAAGAATTGTAAAAAATAATTAATTGAATTTTAATTAATAATTATTATAGAGTATAAAAATAATTATTATTTTAGTTATAATTATAATTAATAATGAAAATATTCATCATAACACTTATTAAAATAATAACTACGGAGTGCTATTTATAATAGTAATAAATATAATTATATAAATAATAATTATAATAATATTAAAAATAATTACAATTATAATTATTAATAATAAAATCTATTGTTGTAATATTATTATTAGTAATTATTAATAATATATTATTAATATAATAATAAAAATAAGATGATGATTATTATTATTAATATTTGATTTTTAAATTAAATCTATTGAGATCAAGTCCATCCAGATTAGATCATATGGCTTACAAAATTCAGTTCAGATCAACCGAAGAGAATGCACCCTAAGAGTGTGTTCTTTAGGGCTGGAAAAAAGAGTTCGGTATTAGAATAAATACGGAAAACTAGAAAAAAAAAGATGGAAAAACTTAAAGAAACTCGAAGAAATGGAAAAGGTTGGAAAAACTAGAAGAAACTGAAAAAACGAGAAGAAATTTCAAAAAATTATTTAAATCCATTGCAAGGTTTTAATAAAACCATATCCGCGGACCACAGTCTCTGACATTCATTCTACACTCCTGTCCATACGGGTTGAAACTTTTGAGCATAGTAAGATACTGTTCTCTTCAACTTATTTCTGCTACTTATTTCTTATTCTTATGAGAATTAGATGAGATCAAATCCATTCATATCTAATTATATTTATTCTAATCAAATCAGATTCATTCGAATCTGATCAAATTCATCCGAATCAAATTAGACTTATTAAGATCAGATCAAATTCATTCACATTAGATAACATTTATTTAGATAAAAACTGTATTTAAAAAAATAATTTTAAAATAACAATAATAATTTAAATAAAAAAATTATTATTATCATCAACATTATTCATTAATAATAATAATAATCTATTATCATCATATTTAATAATGAAACTAATAGTAATTAATAATAATAATTACATGATAATAAAGATACTAATAATGATAATAACAAATAAAAATAGTAATTAACAATAAGAATTAAATAATAATAACAATAATTTTTTTAAATAATAATAATTAAAAAAATAATAATAATAATAATAATAATAATCATAAGATGATGATGATTATTTGATTTTGAAATTAAATCCATTCAGATCAGATCCATCGAGATTAGATCATATGGCTTACAAAATTCGGTTCAGATCAATTGAAGAGAATGCACCCCGAGAGTGTTTTTTAGGGGTGGAAAAAAGAATTCGGTATTAGAATAAATACGAAAAACTAGAAAAACTCGAATAAATTGAAAAGGTTGGAAAAACTAGAAGAAATTGAAAAAAATTAGAAGAAATTTCAAAATTTATTTAAGTGTATTTTACGTATTATTCTTATTATAATTTTTTTGTTTTTGTTTTTACTAGTATTCTTATTAGAGTAAATTACATTAAAAGGTCCTCAGTTATAGGTTGTTTTACATATATATTTCCTACACATCAAATATTATTAATTTAGTCCCCAATTATTGTATTTATTTGCACGAATGGTCTTTTGTTAACATTTCTGTTAAGAACGTGGACAAAATTGTATTCACACTCCTTTCTCTCCCCAATTAAGCTTCCTCCCTCCCCTCGCACTCCTTTCCCAAACTCGTCGCTGAGTTTAAAACTTTGAACCCAAAATAGAAATGATTACTTTTCTATCAATTGTTTGTCAAACTAGTGGAACCCAAATTCGAAATTAGTAATCTTCATGAATGAGTTTTAATGTTTATTTTCTTTGTAATTTTTTGAGACTAACCGATAAAACTCATCCATAAAGCTTATCAGTTTTGGTTTTAAGTTCCACCATGAAGACTAATAATAGAGAGAGAAATGATCATTTTAGTTTTGGGTTTTGAGTTTCAAACTCAGCGACGAGTTTGGGAAAGAGTACGAGAGGATGGAGGAAGGAGGGAGGAAGCTTAATTGACGAGAGAGAAGTATGAGTATACAAAATTATCCACGTTCTAAAAGGAAATATTTACAAAGGACCATTCATGAAAATGAATATAATAATTGGGGACTAAATTATTTGTATTTAATATGTAGGGACTAAATATGTAAAACAACCTATAACTATGGACCTTTTATGGAATTTACTCTTATTATTATTAGTATTATTATTATTGTTCTTGTTATTCTTATTAGTATTAATGAAAGTGAATAAAACTCGATCACGTAAATAGTATACATGCTATTTAATTAGGGCAGAGAGAGTTGTATAATTATTATTTTTTAATTTAAAATATTTATTTTTTTCCAGGACAATTTAGATTAATAAAATATCTTTAGTTTTTAGAACATTGTTTAGTGTCATGTAAATTAATAAAAAAACAATTTTCCCATTAAAATTGCACTTCCTAATATTTATGTTAAAAATTAGATGAAAAAATAATAATGAGTGTGAATCACAAAAATAGTGACATGAGAAGAATAAAATTATGTTGGAAAGTTGAAAAAATAAACTATAGTTATGAATGTATAACAATAATATACTAAAAACACATCATTTTTAGAGTCATTATTTGGAGAGTAGGAAATGATTGCTCAATCAAGTAATCCATACCCCTCACGGATTTTTTAGAGGTTGAGACCGAAAAGATAGATCGATATAAATTGGGATCTGATCCAAAAAGATTGGGACTAAAGTAGCCTTTGGGACCAGTTCCGTTTCGGGCCGGTAGTTTCATTTGGTTCTTTAAATCGGGGGAAGAACTAGATTGGTCTTGGACCGATGGTTTTTTGTGAAAAGATTAGACCGGACTGAACCAGGACTAGTCTAACAATGTAACATTAAAATATAACTTTTACATAAATATTTTTATTCATTTAGCATGTTATTTTAATCGAAATACATTTATGTTGCATAAATAATTTATAAAAATGAACCAATTGTGGTAATTGAAGAAATTTGATTAAAAAACAATATTACTCCGTATATTTTTAAGTTGTCTAAAGTACTAAAACGTAACATTTTAAAAATTAGGTGCATGCTACATATATACCAAAATTTTTACACCAAAGATATGCACCAACATTTTGATGGTTCACACTGACACAAAGTATTGGTGTGTTAATAAAAAATTACACTGAAACAAAGTGTTTGTGCGTTAACAAAAATTAACATTACACAAATACAAAATATTAATGCATCTCTGTGTACAAAATGATGTACAAATTTTTAGGATATAAATAGCGTTTTCCTGAAAATTATACTCCCTCCGTCCCTAAATGGATTACAATTTTTTTCTCTCTCCTCTCGATAACTTTTGTCTGTTTATGCGATTTCATTAAGTATTTGATAAAATAAAATATTTTTGTCACCTCTTGTTTTGTAGAATTTTTGACGTAGTTTTTTAATATGTAATTTATATATCTTATTGATAAACCAATTTATAAATAAAATAAATTCAAAAAGTAGGAAATTTTATTCCGTAACCCGCAATTTGCAATCAAATTGGAGACGGAGAGAGTATAAAATAAAAACAGGACCGGTGAGGCGGTCTAAAAAAGCCTCCATTTTTTTGACTAATTCGAACCGATTCTCAAAAAAATACCGAACCAATCCCGTCAGTAACCCTCTGTGCGATCCTTTTGTTAGGGGCTGTTTGGCAACTTCTGAATGGGTAAGTGCTGAACCATTAAGTGCTGAACCAGTAAGAGGTCTGAACCATTAAGAGCTAGTATATTGTTTAACTATTCAGAGGTAAATGTCTGATCAATTCAGATAAGAGCTCTTAACCATTCAGACTCTGTATAATACTTAACCATTTAGAGCCAAATATATTAACCATTCAGACATTTGAACAATTAAGAGACTGAAACAAACAGTCTGAACCATTAAGTGCAGAAGACTGAAACAAACAGTCTGAAACAAACAGCCCCTTAATCTCTAACCTTTCGACTCATTCAAACGCGCAGTAATGGCGGCCACTTCCGTTGTTTTCAGCTCAGCAGCAGCGGCTGCACGTTCACTTTCGAATCTTCTTTTCGATCTCGACCCGACCTCCAGATCATTTAACCATCACCGGAACTTCTTGAAGCCTACACTTAGAGGATGCCGTCACGTCTCCTTAAGCGCATCTCGCAATGGCGGCGAAAAACAAGACGGCGACGGTTGTGGAGGCGAAGCGAAGAAGATTGAACCGATTCAGTTGGAAAAGCTTTTCGAAGAATATCCTTTTGAACTCAATTCCAAGGACCCGCCAAATCCCCTTCCAAGTACTACTCGTTTTGCTTTCTCGAATCAATTCATTGTTCATACATGTGATTTGGCTTTTCCAAAATCACAATGGTTGTTTAGTATTGAATGTCCTAGGGTTTTGCGATTGGATATTAATTTTGGTTAGTGGGAAATGTGAGAACTTCAGGGCCTTTGACATCTGCTGATTTGTCCAATATGGCTTCTCAAGGATCTCGTCTTCGTGTTGCTTATCAGGTGCTTCATTTTATTTTGTCTATTGAGAATTGGGCCAAATAAAAAATTCAATTATCGACATTGTTGCTGTAATTTTGAACATTGCTTGCTTCTATATCAGGGGGTGAGAGGTGCCTATAGTGAATCAGCTGCAGAGAAGGCGTATCCAAATTGCGAAGCAGTGCCTTGTGAACAATTTGACACTGCTTTTATTGTGAGATTGCTATTTTTCACAAGTGCAAAATCTTAGTTGTGTAATTCTGGTCAAAGAAAAATACAATTTAGATATGGGGATTTTACCTATGTAGTACTAAAACATAGTGAATTTTCCAATGCAGTAACATATGTTTTTATTTCTCAATGTAGTACCACTGTATAATGTCCACTTGATATTGTTCAAGTAAATAACCACTCCCACTAGACATTGTTCAAAGTAAATGTTCGTTGGACATTGTTCCTGGACATTATTCAAGTACTCCGGTACTATTTAGGGAATAAAAAGCCATAGGTACTACATTGGGAAAAGACATATGTTTTACTATTTAGTGCAAATTTCACTTTAGATATTTGACATACAATTTACTACTCCCTCCGTCCCTTAAAAAAGTTCCCAGTTTGACTTTTTGAGGATTTAAGAGGAGTGTATTTTGGTGTTGACTTTCCAAAAATGCCCTTTGATGTAATGAATAAAGTAGGATGTGATGGATAGATTAATAGAGAAAAAGTGTGATGTGATAGGTAGGTTAAGAATTAGTAGGGGTAAAAGTGACCTTTTAAAAGGAAAAGGGAAGTATTTTTTCGACGGATAAAAAAAGAAAGGGGAACTTTTTTGCAGGACGGAGGGAGTAAGTAATATTGAAGAATTTGGGAATATTACATGTAGGCTATATTGCTAAGATATATGTTTGATGCTGATTTTGCTGCTATTATGAAACCTAGCTTCCAATTAAAATGGGTAATAAAGTGATGAACCAGATTGGATGCTGGAGTATGAAATGCTCTAGATTAGTTAGATTTTTCAATGTGCTCAATTATCAAAGTTTATGTATAGCTGGTACAGTGGCTGCAAATTGTCTCTGAATCATATAGAAATGCAGTGTTTCTTGGACAACCTTTAATGCCTGGATTCCAATAGGTGATTTCTGAGAGTTTCTGTAGATATGATACCCTCTTTAAGATCAGCGAAAGCCTTATAAAAATTATTAAGCTAAATTGCCTGCACCGCCCCTTTGATTCCCAATTATTCATATCCACATATTTGTCTATATCAATGTATGCATGTCGCCTTGATTCTTATTGAAACTCATATAATCACCCACACTGCCTAAGTGTTTCATGCAGCCATTTTTTATCAATTCATCTATAACTTTATAGAAAATATGGAACCAGACCTATTTTTTCCAACCCAAAAAGCCAAACACAACAAGAATGTTTGAAATACAGCATCTCAAGTTGTAAGATTTATTAACATGAGAACTTTGTTCTCATTCCTGAAAGTTGTCATGTGCTTTTGGAATTTCTTGTGACTAAACTAACATACCAAACACTATAGGAGGCTGTGGAAAAACTTTAATTTCATTTCCCTATCATATTGACAGGCTGTTGAAAGTTGGCTTGTTGATAGAGCGGTCTTGCCAATTGAAAATTCTCTAGGGGGAAGTATCCATAGGAATTATGACCTTTTACTTCGTCATCATTTGCATATTGTTGGAGAAGTAAAACTTGCAATACAACACTGCTTACTAGCTAGTCCTGGTGTGAAAGTCAAAGATCTTAGACGAGTTCTAAGTCATCCTCAGGCATGTCATAGTACTTAATTCATTTGTTTTGTTGATGTGCATCTTTTTTGAATCGGACAATCATGACTAGTCAGGCTCTTGCACAATGTGAGAACACTCTTACAGAGCTTGGGTTGGTCAGAGAAGCTGTGGATGATACTGCTGGGGCAGCAAAGGTAGTTCAAAGTTTTACTAAAATTGCTTCACTTTGTTCTGTAGTACGGAGTATTTATTTTGAGAACATGATCTAATTGAAGTGGTCTTGTCCTTGGGGTAAATTTTATAGGCTGTGTTTGGTAGGGGATCAGATATAGGAGGGGAACTGGGAAGTAGGTAGGTGGGAAAAGGAAAGAAGAGAAATATGTAGAAAATAGAGATGGAAATTGTTTGGTTGAAATGAAGTAGTGGGGAAAGCTGAGGGAATATCTGGATTAAAGTGGTTTGATTTATTTAAACACAGAAAAAAATATTTTTTATACTAAAAGTGCATTTCCATATTTAAAAAAGAGTGCATTTCTTTCACTACTTTCGAGTAGTGGTAAGGTCTTCTTAGTGGGATTCTAATGGGTTGTTGATGCTGTTGTAGTAAAAGTGCATTTCCTCCCAATTTCTCTCCATTTGTGAGGGGAAATCTCCACTCTCCCCCCCCCCAAAGGCCAATGCATTGCTTCAAAAGCTGTGTTATGTCTTCCCCTCCCTTCCACTCTATTTCCACCATTCCGAACACATGCTTAGGTACCTTGTTTGGTTGCTAACTTGGTTTCTCTTTTGTTGGCATTTTCTGTTGTAGTATGTTGCTTCCCACAAACTAAAAGATGCTGGGGCAGTTGCTAGCCTCACTGCTGCTAGAATATATGGACTGGATGTACTCCAACACAATATACAGGTTGCTTTGAAAATGATGTTGTGAATATACTATTTTGGCCTTGCATGTTTTTCCCGTGCTCATGGTTACACACTGCANACTCTATTTCCACCATTCCGAACACATGCTTAGGTACCTTGTTTGGTTGCTAACTTGGTTTCTCTTTTGTTGGCATTTTCTGTTGTAGTATGTTGCTTCCCACAAACTAAAAGATGCTGGGGCAGTTGCTAGCCTCACTGCTGCTAGAATATATGGACTGGATGTACTCCAACACAATATACAGGTTGCTTTGAAAATGATGTTGTGAATATACTATTTTGGCCTTGCATGTTTTTCCCGTGCTCATGGTTACACACTGCATTATATTCTAGGATGATTCCGATAATGTTACTCGATTCCTAATGCTGGCTAGAGAACCCATAATTCCTGGAATCAATAAACCATTCAAGGTTAGCTATCAATTTACTGCTGAAAAGTGAAAAGGGAAAAACAATCTGTCATAGTATTTTTTCCTTCTGTCTGGAATTTCAATCTAATGTATATCACCCTATTCTAGACAAGTATAGTGTTTTCCCTTGAGGAAGGTCCTGGTTTTCTTTTTAAAGCACTTGCTGTTTTTGCTATGAGGAATATCAACCTTACAAAGGTGAGTTTTAAGTGTTAATGAAATGGAGTTTAAGCCAGTCAAGACACTATCTACTCTTACTGATCAACTTTGTTTTCTGTTCTAGATTGAAAGTCGTCCCTTGCAGAAACAGGCTTTGCAAATAATTGACTGTAGTACCGATGGATTCCCTAAGTATATTCAATGCTCTACTTGTACTCTACAATTGCATATGTTACCTGTCTAGATAAGTAGATTATCCATTCATGGTGTAATTATAATTTTGACTGTGTATGATATTCCTTCGAATGTTAATGCAGATATTTCCCATATCTTTTTTATGTTGATTTTGAAGCGTCAATGGCCGAAGAAAGATCCCAAAATGCTTTAGGACATCTAAAGGTTCTGCTTAGTAAAACTTCATCTTTTCTTTTTAGCACTCCAACATTACTTTGATAAAAGTGCATATCCCAGGAATTTGCTACATTTTTGAGAGTCTTGGGGAGTTATCCAGCAGACAGTGGCATGCCTTGACATTTGAACGCGGTTAGATTTTATCTCTGATCTTTGGCAGTTGTTTTTTATCTGAGTTATGAATTTATCATTGCTTGTTGTTCCTGATACTCTTTTATGGAGATTGGAATAACAGATGATTCACTAAATAAGTAAATATCATTTAACCCTCAAGTTAAATTTTATTAGGGTCTGTGTGTGATTTAGGATTTTGAAGTGTTTTGGAGGGGATGTAACAGCAGGAGTTAATTTTAATTTTAAATCAAGACCCAAGAGTAGCATTTATAATTCAAATTTTGTAGTAATTAATTAACGAGTGTAAGACTAGGACATTGGAACCATAGTTCTAAAAACCAAACCGGCTGGTTCGACCTGGGAACCGGTGAGGTAGTTGCCAGACTGCTTCGGTAGGGAGTGTTAGACCAGAGCTTGCATCGAACTGGTCCGAATTGGGTTCAGACCAACATTGCACCGGTACGCGAACGAGTCATTTTTTTAATTAATGTAAAGGATAGGATTCAAACCTTTAACCTTTGACAGAATTGATAGTAATACGTAGTACATATCACGAAAATATTTTGTTTGAATATTTTTAGAAAATATTGGGAAAAATATTTGAACAAATAAATATAAAGATGTGGGAGAGATATTCTTTTCTAGACAAATTCAGTTAAGTCCAGAATCCCTTAGGTGACCCTTAAAAACAGTGGGATAAGGACACACGCACACACAAATACAGGGCAACTCCCAGTCCCCCATTGATGTAAAAAACATGCCCAGTTTTTCAGTTTCTAGTATCTTGTCCTTGTTTGATACAGACTTTGTAAACATTTACCATGCAGGGAAGCTCTGAACCATTTGCGCTTCGTTAAAGGAAAAAAGTGGCAGTTTTTTGTCACTTCAGACATTCGGCTGAGTTAAAGCTATAGATTATCAAGGAAAGGAAATGCACATTTTGACCTCTTTTTCATAAAAGTTTAGGCTTTTTTTTCATGGGGACAAAATAATTTATTTTTTCGGTTGGAAAAAGGTGTACTGCGTAATTGTCTTTGTAGTAGGCTAGTAGTTCTATACTACTCTTTTGTTTTAGTCAAAGGCCAATTCTCATGTGCTTTAGGAGTTTTTGGTAATCTGACATTTTGACATAAATAATTCTCTAATTTATTTATGAAGTTTTCATTTGAAGCTCTAGCACAAAGAAAACTATGCTTTAATGTGGTCATGCAAGATACATACCACAGTGCAAAGAATAAAAAAACATAAACGTATTTAGTGACAAAAAAAAAACATCACACACATGCCGATGACCGCACCCTTAGATCTCAGGGATGAGTGGGGTGGGTAGGGACAAGAGAGAGGAGAAGAAATTATAGGAGTCTGTCTTATGCATATTCTGGATTCATTGCCAATGCCTCCTGGTAAATCATGTCTTTAATCTGCTCTTCCCCGCATGCCTTTTGCTCAAAATCTGCAAACTGAACCCGGCAGACCGGTTCATCTGATACATCGTGGAATTGGGCAAGGTAAGGGTGAGCTAGGGCTTCCTCAACTGTGATTCTTTTTGAGGGGTTGAATGTTAACATCTTCTCCACAAGATCAATGGCCAAAGGATGAACATGTGGGAAAACTCTTGCTAGCTGCTGGCTTGGATGACAGGGAAGTTGTCTGATATATCTTTTTGCGCTTTCATTCTGAATATACCCAATATCAGAATCGCTTGGCGTGCCGAGAAGCTATCAATACAAAAAATGAAAGTTCCAGTAAGTGTTGGATAGTCTTATTATCTCGCGAGAAATGCGCAGGTACATCATGCATATAATATTCTTTTGAGTTGAAAATACTAGATTACATCATTTTTTTGAATATTTTACCTCAGTTATTAAGCGCAGTTGATGGACATGATCTTTTCCTTGAAACAATGGTTTTCTGTTCATAAGCTCCATGAAGATGCAACCGACAGACCATACATCAATAGCTGCAGTGTAATCCGAAGTGTTCAAAAGCAGCTCGGGCGCCCGGTACCATCTGGTAACCACATACTCGGTCATGAACGCATTATCCAAGTTTGTCCGGGCTAGACCGAAGTCACATATCTTGAGATCACAGTTTGCATTTAGCAACAAGTTGCTCGGCTTCAAGTCCCGGTGAATGACGTTTGCTGAATGTATGTATTTTAGCCCGCGAAGGACCTGATACATAAAATACTGCACTCACACCAACACAGGTAAAAACTAATCAGAGCTCTGATTCTACTAACAAGTTCTTCAAGAACTAAAAGTGAATCAAATGTGATCCTTTTTTTACCTGACAATGCTCTTCGGATAGACTCTGATGGGATCGGATTATCTGGTGAAGATCCGTGTCCATGAGCTCCTCCACAATGTAGACATCATTGAATTCCCTTCTCAATGGTGGAGGAATTACATCTCTTAGAGCTATCACCTGAGGAATGGCAAGCTTTTTATGAGTTATAAGAAGGAAGACATGGAGCTATTGATGTGCAATAATTTTTGCCGAGGAACCAACTCAATCAAAAGATTAAGATTGTGGTTGTCGGTCCAAGAAAGGTCCTTATATTCTAACTTGCTCCCTCATGTGTAGCCGTGGTTGCTTTGAGTTTGCACGTGAAACCTTAATTTTTTTAATAAAAAAAACTGGGTGGCGGTGAGGTCGAGTTCGTGACATCTTAGCTAACAAGGCTATGAAAAGAACTCCACCGAAAATTCAAGCTTGTTATAAGTTCAGGTAAAGTTCTTACATTCTATAGTGACAATTTGCCTTATTCATACTCACATTTTCGTGATCAAAATGGCGAAGAAGCTTGATCTCGCGGAGGGTTCTCTTGGCGTCCATGCAATTGTCGAAAGCGTCCGAGATCTTTTTAATCGCAACCATCTCGTTCGTGTCCGCGTTCAACATAGAGCTTCAAGTACACATCCAAAAACGAAAAATAAATTCAAAATGAAACATAATTTTTACCCCTATGATTCCCAAAATGACAGAGGTTGTCAATTTATAAATTACCAGACTATCCCGTAGGCGCCGCGCCCGATTGGCGTAATGGGAGGGGTGTACTTAGCGGGGACCTCGAACTGGTTCCCGAAGATGTTATACTTAACGTATTGCCCGCCGTGTGTTGGCACCGCCGGATACTCGCCGCCGGCAACCATGATGACGTCACTCGTTTGTTGGATATCAGACAAACAAATAAGGTAAGAGAATGCAGGTGATGGACGATGTCTTTATGCATGTTGTTATATATAGTAGTGTACCATAATAGTCCATATGTGGAAGATAATGTCCTGCAGATAGAAAGTCAATAAGGTCGTCTTCCTGGCAAGAGAAAGGAAAGAGATTAAATAAACGCGTCGTTGACTGGGCCCAAATGAAGTTGTCAAATTTGATTTTACTTATGCTCTGTAATTTTTTTAGTGTATTATTTTCTCTCTTCGTGTCATATTAGATTCTTCTTACTCCGTATTTCATATTTTTTTACCGGTGAGAGTGTACATATGTCAATTTACTAATTTACTTAAACTAATACGGAATAATATAAATTAATGTTAAAATGCTTTTAAAATATTTGACTTTTAATTATTAAATTTAAAATACATAAAATAATATAATATGCAAACATTGGATTAACACGAAAACAAAATGGTAAGATTTCATCGACCTAAATGAAAAATATACTACTAGATAAAAAAAATCAGCCCAAAATATTTTACAAAAAAAATAATCAAAACCAACAATAATAGAAAAAATATGATTATAATATTAAATGGGGTGTTCTATATATGTCTAAATTGGAGATGTAATGTTTAAGGAATGATTTTGGCCCCGTTTTGTTCAACTTATTTTTTCTGCTTTTTTCTTATTCTTATTAAAATCAGATCTAATCAGATCAGATCAGATCCAATTAGATCAGATCAGATCCAATCAGATCAGATCCAACCAGATCAGATCTAATCTAATCAAGAATTATTATTATTATTATTATTATTATTATTAGGAATTATTATTATTATTATTATTATTATTATTATCATCATTATCATTATCATTATCGTTATTAGTCCATACTTTTTAAATTACATATCTTTTACTTGTTTTACTTGATACGATTCTTTCAAAAAATAAATTTAATTTCTCTTGAAAAAGTATAAGAAGAAAGAAAATTAAACTTTTGTGCGATTATAATATATGTAGAGAAAAATAAAATGATATGAAGCACAATTTTTTTTCTTAAAAATGAAAAGAATAAACTTTAGAAACAATTTAAATAGAAAATTGAGAAAGTAATACATTTTTATTGCTACCTGTAATTTAAGTTTCTAAAGTTTTGATCTCTTACTACATCGAGTTGATCAACTTTGATCATGATTTAAATAACATTAACATTTGATATTCATATACGGAGTATATTTTAGTGTAACTGAAATAACTATTATATCTATAGTGTTATATTAATCATAAAAAAAGTTTCGTAGTACAAAGCACACGCCGAATTGAATTTTCGAAAAGACTAAATTAAGAATAAATTATGGAGAAAATATTCGAGTAGAATTCAAATTAAACAAATGGATACAGTGCAAATAAAAAATAATCATAAAATAAAAAATATTATTAAATTATAATATGAATGATTATATGAATTAACTAATTTTATTTTATTAAAAAATAATCATAAAATAAAAAATATTGATTATATTATAATATAAATTATCATTAAAATTTTCAAAAGTTATTATAAAGTCAGATCAAATTATTGATTTGATTTTTAAATCAAATCATAATTACTTAGATCTGATCAGATTCAATCGGATCAGATCAGATCCAATCAGATCAGATCCAATCTGATCAGATCAGAACTACAAAAAATCAGATCATATCAAAAAAAATAGGTTGAACGGAACGATGCCTTTATCATTGTTAACCTCAACAAATGGCCCACAAATCATTTCATACTTGTTTGTACAATTAGTTGTATCATGCACAATGAAGTCACCAAATATAAAATAATCTTCCTTCATTTGCTTGTCCTTCCAAAAAAACCAATGAACCTTCAAAGTCAACCTCAAAAGCAAAGAAAAAAATCATCCCCATTTCTTTGGTGTTGCCTAAAATACTTAACAAGAGTATTAGCATATGTACCATCAAAACACCTTTTAGCCTCTCTTGCCAAATTGTTATAAACATCTTTCAATGAAAAACCAATCGCATGTGACCCCCCAGCTTCTGCCCTCAAACAACGAAATGCATCAGCAACTTTAAAGCCTTGTTGTTTTAAAAGATTATGATATGACAGTTGGCCTTGAGAAAGATCTATATGTGATCTTACATGGTGAACCAATGAAGGGAATAAGGAATGATTGTGTTCCATCAAATTTCTGACTACAACCCAATCACCATTACCCTTCAATTCAAAGTAAACTTTAGCTTGACAATCACTCCATCAACTTTGGTGTATTTTTTACCAATAGCACCTCTATTTTTTACTTTCAAATTCTCTCCCGCTGATACTCAAACCATTGTGACTTTTCCTTAAAGTTGAATAACGAATAACAAATCCATTCTTAAAATGCATATTCATTATAAACATCAAATGCCTCTTTCTTTGAATGTACTTTTTTGCCAATTAATTTTGATGTTTCAGCTTCTTGAGCAAGAACGGGAGAATCTATCACGTCATCATTAGATAACACTAGAGATGTAGTTTAAAAATAAGGTACATTATTTAGAGCTACAAAAATTAAAAGAGTCTCAAATAAGAATAGAGGGAAAAAGTTTCAAGTACAACAATAGAGAATTCATTTACAAAGTTGAAAAGAGTATACAAAGTTAAGAAAAAATTACGAGAAGGGGTTGGGAAGTTTACAATTTCTCCACAACTCTCAATTGCTTCTATTAATTGCCCTTCATATATATGAAAATTTGAAAAATAAAAGTTGTGAAAAAAAATCTGTTGAACAATACTAAATTCTAGTATGAAGAAGATGTATACAATTCCTTAGAAACACTGTTAATTTTGTTAATTAATGCCCAAAAAAAGTGCAAATAATAGTATCACCTCGAGATTCAAATTGAGGAATTTGTAGCTCAAAATTACCAAGAAGATGAATATCTTGTTCCATTGCCCCTCCTCGGTAAATTTAAGATGAAAAGTATGAAGATTAGTACAATAAATGATGTTCAGAATATGAGTTTGAACTTTCGATCCAATTTCTGATATAGATTACAATTGGAAGAGACTGGAGAGAGCGGCAAAAGATACAGGGAAGAGTGGCGGGAGATTTTTTAAAAAGAGGCAGAAGAGGATGAAGAAAGATATGGAAGAGAACGGCGGAAGAGAATGAAGAAAGAGGCGGAAGAGTATGAAAAGAGGTAGAAGAGTGTACAAAAATTACAAAAATATGAGACTGTACCTAGAGCAAGGTATAGCTGGTTGTATAATATAATTTGCGACAAACCTAAACAACGTCATTGGGTTTTTTTTCCAGGAAACCAGCGCATCTTCTTATTCGTTCTGCCAACCAGGCTGCGAAAAGACTAGGGGGCACAACCGGCACATCCCGCCCCTACCATCCGCGAACGTAGTACCCTAATTGCACTTCGCTGGAAATTCACCGGGGGAACTTGCCCAGGTAGCCTCCCTCCTCTGCCCCTGGTCATTATACTCCTATGTGGTATTAGAAGACTCAGTACTCCTATATAAGTATTTTCATATTTTTAACTCATTTTTATTATGAATATTTCTTAACTTTAATAGTGTATATCAACTTTAAAAATGCTAAAAACTATCATTAGATCATATTTTCAAAATGCTAGCCTCTAAGAATATTGCTAAATGGGGTCTACATCTATTCATCTTAAGCTCCCTAATACTCTATTGGTTATCTACCACGACCATTTTAAATCAAGCGACATACGTGTGAAATGAAATTATTTTTAATTCTATGAATAATATTATTTTTTTCCCCACATTAAAATGACTCACCCCCTCCCCTCCCCCTCCCCCTCCCCCTCCCCCATGCATTGATTCAAAAAACGATTCTCTCCTATATTTTTAAACATATAAATTATAATACTACTTACATCACAGTGTATTCGTCTAGTTAGACTTTTTGAAATTTTTTTAGAAGTTTCAATGATAAAATCATAAATCTTCATTACTTCCTAAGGATTGTATTTTTAATATTATATATAATCTCCTTCTAATTAAATCTATGAATAGACATAAAGTCAATGAGTAAGCACTTTTTCGAAGCTAGTATCTCTGTCTCTGAGTATTTGTTTAGTTTTGACTTTTTTCCGTCAATTATTTTCAACCTGACCAATAGTTAAATAAAATATATACCCCGGAGTAGTGTATATTAATTAGATAAAATAATATTTTAAAATATGTTATATAATAAATCTAATTAAATAATTTTTGTATCAGTATCTAATATTATTTTTATTTAATTTAAAGTTAAAATTTATCAACTTTGATTAAAAAAATTGAATATGGACAAATACTCAAAAAAGAATGAAGTAGTTTGCACACGGTAAAAAGACTCTTAGAAAATATTCAAGTCCTCCCAAGAAAGAAAGAAAGGAGGAAGAAGAACAAGTGCTAATGTATTGATGTACCCCTTCCCATCTCCCAAGATTATTCCATCATCATTCATCACAAAGACGCCCTCAATACGGCAACGAGACTAGCAAGCTGCTCTCTCCGTCCTATAATGTTCTTCCCAGTTCATTTTACGAAGTATGATCGACTTTATTTTCAATTCAATTTATTTGATTGTAGGTGTAAAATTAAAAAATAAAATTTATATATTTAAAAACTACATCAAAAGTTCTACAAAACAAGTGGTGACAAGATTATATTATTTTATCAAATACCTAATGAAAATAGGTAAAGAAAGTTATTAAAGTTTGACCGTGTAAAAAGTGAGTGGGAAAAACATTATAGGACGGATGGAGTAAAATAAAGCATAGTTGTACCCCAGTTTGGACCTGTTTGAAAATAACGTTAGAGATTAACATTTACATTTTGGATAAAATTTCAACGATGCAGTTTCATTTGAAAAGGCTAACACTAAACGCTGCTCGTAGATATCTTATTCAAAATGCAACCGTTAATCTCTAACATTATGCTCAAACAGGTCCTTTATATACCAAACCTTTACATCATTTACACTAATACAAAGTATTAGAAAAATTTCATAATGACATTTTATATCACTATAACCCGTAAAAATGTCACTGAAAAATTTCAGGCTACAAAGTGGTGTACACCACGCTAAACCAGGTGATGGCCGGCTGACCTGCTACAGACTTGGACCCCAAGATATTGAATATCTAATCTATCCTCAAATTTCCCATTAATTTGATTTTCATCCCCACCGATAATAATCTTTAATTATTCTCTCCCTTAAATATGTGACCGCACTTCAATTCCTTCCCAGCACCATCTATAACTGATTCCTAGTTAATTACCATTTTCAATTTTTTTTTTCTTTCATACCCCCTGCAAGTGAAAAAGAAAAGAAAGAAAAATCAAAAGCCCATAAATGGAATATTACGGGAGGAGAGAAGGAATAAAGGGGAAGAAGAAGGAGTGGTCGGCGCCGCCGAGAAGGGGGCAGATCAAGCTCGGGATAATAAAGTCACTGGTGAAATCAGCTTCCGAATTCATCGCCGTCGGGAGCTCGAAGAAGAAGAAGAAGAAGGGAGCGGTTTCCGGCGGTGGTTCCAGCAGCCAGACTTCTCTGGCGGCCTTCACGCCGATTCATACCCCGAGCGGATATGATTCCGGCATTGATTCTGATCCTGACTCAGCTTTAACCACAAAGTTATGATCCACGAGAATATGTTATACATGTAAATAAGGTTTTTTACTTCTTTTTTTTTTTAAGATCAAAGTGAATTTTGAATTTTCTTCAAAAAAAAAAATGAATTTTGAAATTTGAATTAGTGGTCTCTATGTATTTAATTAAGCATTAATTAGTTTTTGAATAAAGCTATTTATCACCAAGGTTCAAGTGACATTAGATCTCAATGTCATGGGATGACCTGGGAGCGCTCCGGTGCCTTGTTCGTAAAATTGACGGTTTCTATCCCTAACCTCCCCGGTAAACCCCCACCCCGGCCCCGACACGAACACACCCCCCACCTCCTTCAATTACACCCACAAGTTGATTTTGACTTTGGAGTCAAATTTTTGAAAGTCTAAATTATGTATAAGGACCATTTTTGGAAATAACAATTTTTGTAAGAATAACTTAAATAAAAAATATTTTACATGGACTAATAACAAAACTCGCCTAGTTTACATGGACTAAGAACATATTTAATCCAAAATTTAAATAAATCTCAGCAAATGATTCGGTATCATTGTAATCCAATATGGTATCTTCCTAGTTCACCTATTTTTTTGGAAAATGATATTTGTACGTCAAAAATTGTACCTCATTGGCCCGCTTTCTATTCCGAAGGCATGCATCAGCATTTTGTGCTAGTGTGATACTAGTTTGATACTTTACAATGACACAAAATGTTAATGTAATTTTTTTATTCAACTAACATTTTATGCTAGTGTGAATCGTTAAAATACCGATATACTACCTCTGTCCCAGAGTATTTGTCCACTTTTATTTTTACACACCATCTGATACACTTCTTTAATCCATTTTATCTTGTAATTTGTATATTAACAAATTATAGAAATTATATGTTAAGACAAATCAAACAAGATCACACATGACTATATTTAGGCTTACACATTGAGATAATTTGATGAGTCAAAGTACTTAGATGAACAGTTTCAAAAGTCAAAACTGGACGAATACTCCGGAACGGATGGGAGTATCTTTTTTGGTATAATTTAGGGTACACTTCTTGGTGTACCCCTAGCTTGGCTTTTTTTTTTTTGCCACACCAAAGTGGTACAAGTACGTGGAAGGCTAGAAACTAGGAAGATTCTCATTACCTTACTCCTTTGGTCCTTCCATTCCATAGAGTTCTTTACATTACTCTTTTTTAGACGTTTAAAAACATTATTTACTTTTTTTTCCTTCACTATCAACAATTATCTCTACTTTAAATAAATTTTAACTATATTTTTCAATTATTTTTATATATTACCTCCGTCCCAGATTATTTGTCCACTTTCATTTTTACACACCATCCAATACACTTTTTTATTCCATTTTATCTTGTAATTTGTATATTAAAAATTATAAAAATTATATATTAATAATCTATATGTTAAGATAAATCAAACAAGATCACACATGACTATATTTAGGCTTAGACATTGAGAGAATTTGATGAGTCAAAGTACTTAGATAAATAGTTCCAAAAATCAAAACTGGACGAATACTCAAGGACGGAGGGAGTATTATGTAAAATAAAATCAAAATGTCAACAATTTTATGAACAGGGCGAATACTCCGTATAATAATACTCCGTACTCAATTCAGCTCCTCCACCTAAAGATGGACCCAATTCCTCCGTACTCATCAACGAAATCTGTCCATCCATTTTCTAAATGGGCTTACATAAATATCTTCATCACAAATAATACTCCTTCCATCTTAAATTATTTGTTCTAAATTCTAATTACTGTTTTGAACTTTTGAAAAGTTTTTGCTTATCTATGAATTTTCATTAATTAATCATTTTATAAAATAAATTAAAGACATCACTATTTTTTGTAGAACTTTTGATATAATTTTTAAAAGCAGAATAATATATAAGTTATACTTGCACTTTTTGCTTCTATAAATTTTGTAAAATAAAATAATTTTAAAAGAGATAAAGTTCTGATCATTATTCAAAAGATGACAAATAATTTGACATAGAGCTTGTTTGAGAATAGCGTTAGTGTTTTAAAAACACTATCTACGGGCAGGGTTTAGCTTTAGCATTTTTCAAAGTAATCTGCACCGTTAAAATTTTATCCAAAACGCTAACGCTAATTTCTAGCGTCATTCCCAAACAGACCCATAGAGAGAGTAGTGTACGTTCAATGAGATTAGTACTCCGTATATACTTACTTAGAAAGTCTTTCCGTCGGGTTCATTTTTTGAATTAAATGTTTAATCAACAATATTTCATAACATAAAATAAAAAAATATATAAAAAATACAATAATATTTTAAAAGTTTTTTTGATACGAATATTATGGCAATTTTTATATTTTAATTGAGCATGGGGTATTTTTTTTTATATAGCCAAGCTATCTAAAAATATACAATTAATCAAACATTTGGCAACAAAGCCAAACAAACACCAAAAAAATTGGAGGGAGTATGTAACTTTTTAGGGTAATGCTATTTGTATCCTACCATTTTTACCCCATTTTGTACACTGAAGGGATGCACCAAGATTTTGGTTGGTGTAATGCTAATTTTTGTTAATGCACCAGCACTTTGTATCAGTGTAAATTTTTGTTAACGCACCAACACTTTATGTTAGTGTGAACCATCAAAATGTTGGTGCATATTTTTAGTGTACAAATAGATTACATGTAGCATGCTCCAACTTTTAAATATGTATATAATCAATTTACAATATGTACTATATGCCCCCCCCCCTCTCTCTCTCTCTCACACACACCACATAGTTAAAATTTACAAATTACAATATGTATACACTCAAATTAATATATTGGAATTAAACATTATCGTTAAATAATTTTTTCATAACTTTTAGGAAAAATCATTCAGAATACTTCTAAAGTTACCCAATGTTTCAAAAATAATATCACATTTCATTGTGATGCATAATAATCTCAACTTTAATGAAATTTGCGAGTTTTGGGTTGTCGTTAAGTGGCTAATGACGGGTTTACGAGAACGGCCTGTTTTGCGCAACAAAATGAAAGTTGGGATAATGTTTTATGAATTTTTGTTTTTTAATTTTTTTTTTGAAAATCGAATTTTTAAATTTACTTTCTACATCCATCATTTGTTTTTATTTTTTATAGATCAATCTTACTTTTCGAAAAATAAAAATAATAGATATAAAAAATAACAAAAATGAGAAAAATAACTAAAACAATTCAAAACTAATGAAATAAATAAAGTAATCAATAGAAACTTACTTGAAACTGGTAAGAAATAAAATATAATATACGGAGTGGTGGGTTTTAATATTTTATGCACTATACAAAGTATTAATGTACCACAGCTTCTTCTTTTTTTTGGAAAAAGCATGTAGAATAATTCCAATTTTACCGACCGACCTATTTTTTTAAAAAAAATAAGTAGTACATTAAGACTCTGTATAGTGCGTAAAATCTTAAAACCCACTACTCCATATATATTTATTGTTATGGATGGTAGAGTAGGATATTTAGTTATATATTTATTAGTTATTAATTAATTAGTAGTAGTATTTATAATTATTATTATTATTATTATTATTATTATTATTATTATTATTATTATTATTATTATTATTATTATTATTATTATTATATTGTAATATAGGTTTTATTAGGTGAGCGGAATTATAAGCTCCTTCGAGAGCTTATTTTCGGTTCTTTACCTCGATGCATTTGTTGAACCGACAGGCTAGAAATTAGATGGACTAGGGTTTTCATTGATTCCTTATAAATAGATATGTATGTAATCCCTTTAGAATAATCAATCAATGAACAAATCAAAACCCTATTTCCTTCTCCTCTCTCGGTTCACCGATTCTCTTCGTCCCAATTCTTCTTCTTCTTTCTCGTCCCATATTCTCAAGAGCTTGAAGACGCTCTAAGTCTTCCCTATCCTATACGAGTTCGTATCAATATTATTTCTTACGAGTTTCGGTTTAATTTGTGTTGATTGCCTTATTTATTTCATTAATTTTTTTTTGGTTTTAGTTATTTTTCTCATTTTTTATATCTATTTTTTTTATTTTTTCTAAGGTAAGACCAATCTTTAAAAAATAAAAAGAAATGGATGTAGAAAGTAATTTTAAAAATTCAAATGAAAATTTCAAAAAAAATAAATTGCAACAACCCAATAGAATCTCACAAAAGCAGGGTCTGAGAAGAGTGTGTGTACGCAGACCTTAACCCCCCTAAAAGTAGAGAGGCAGTTTCAAAAAAATTTTAAAATACAAGAATTCATCAAAAATAATTCGAACCTTCATTTTGTTGCGTAAAACATGTATTTCTGTTAACCTGTCATTAGCAACTTAATGGCGACCCAAAACTCGTAAATTTCAGTAAAGTTGAGATTATTATGTATCACAGTGAAATACTTCCTCCGTCCCACTGTCTTTGTCCACTTACCTTTTGGCACACCATCCAATGCACTTCTTTAATCCATTTTATCTTGTAATTTGTATATTAAAAAATTATAGAAATTATATATTAATAATCTATATGTTAAGACGAATCAAACACGATCACACATGACTATTTTTAGGCTTACACATTGAGAGAATTTGATGAGTCAAAGTGCTTAGATGAACAGTTCCAAAAGTCAAATGTGGACAAACACAGTGGGACGGAGGTAGTATGAGATTATTTTTGAAAGATCAAATAAAGTTGATATTGTTTTGGATAATTTTTCCTAACTTTTAAATTAAACATTGAATAAATTGTCCAATCAAGGCCAAAAGTACTCAATACGTAATACTCCCTTCGTTCCATAATCTTCTTCTTCTTTGTTTTTCACGATCTCCAATATATTACTTTGTTCATTAGTATCTCTACTCATATATAATTTTATATTGTAAAAGTATGATATTTTAAAATTTTATTTCAAAATGAATCTATTAATTTTAAATTAATATCACGACATTATTTTTCATATTTTACTATTAAATTTAAAAAATTTTGACCAATGAAACAAACTGGAAGATAATTCTGAGACAAATGATCTACCCCCAAAGATATCAAACTTCAAAGTCAAAATAAACTTAGGGAGTGCAATTGAAGAAGGTGGGCGGTGCGTTCGAGTTGGAGCGGGTGAGGGCTTTACTAAGAGGGGTTAAAGAGGTAAGAACCGTCAATTTTACAAACGAGCACCCGGTCGCCAATGTGAACCGGTCCCATCAAACTATTGGAAGTGTGAAAATTAGAGGCGAGGTTTCTAAATTAATTGCATTTATAGTCCCTCTCCTGAGTCCTGACCCTATAAATTTGTGCCGTCTCCCCCTCACTCGGCCACTCACACTACTCCGCTGAACCGGACCGGAGCAAATCTAGGAAGAAAGCAGAGAAATGGAAGAAGTCATGTTGAGGAGATCGAACCGGACGATCCCAGGAAGAAGGGGCCAAATCAAGGCCCGGATTCTCCGGAAGTTCGTTAGATCGGCTTATGAGTTGGTCCCATTTCCCGGCCGTTCGAAGAAGAAGGCGACCGCTTGATCCGGTTCACTTAGCCCGGTTTCTTGTGCGACCCCGACCCGAACCTCCAGCGGTTTCGACTCTGCAATTGATTCAGATTGTTCCTAGCTTTGTGTTCATCTAGATTAGATAATGGAAGTTGTTTTCCTTTCTTTTTTTGATGTTTTTTAAGTTTTGCTTTTTGATGGGTATTTCTGGAATTTGGTGAGGAAATCCTCCCATGTGGATGAGTCTCATCCCATGGATCCATTCAGAATCGGTCAGACGATTACTCCGTATTTAATAGGAGATAAATTGAGCGATAATCACATGGTGTTCGACAAAGGTGAAGTGTACACTTGATATTTGAAAATGTCAGCTTAGTATAGTTGTTCTATGAAATCGAACTCGAGTTTATCTTATTTGGCACAAATGGCTTATCAGGCTTAACATGCTTAGTATAGTACTTTGAATGGAATTGACCCTATATGTGATCTTGTTTTTTTTTGAAACATGTGATCTTGTTTTCAATTAAGTTAGTATTTTAAATTATTTATACTTTATGTTCTCAAAAATACTTTCTCTTTTATTTTTTTATTTCCAACAAAATGCTTTCACTTTTTAATAAAAAAATTACTTTTACCCTTACTTTTTCATACCCTACCTATCAGATCATACTTTTTCTCTAATAATATATCTATCACATCTTACTTTTACCTATCATATCAAAAGCAAAATTGGAAATCAACTACAATTTAACACTTCTTTATTTTTACATTTGATCAAACTAGGAATTCTTTTTGAGAACCGATGGAGTAGTATTTTTCTTAATAAGATACATTAATTTTGAAATACTAAAAATAAATCATTATATAATTCCTTCATAACCTTAAAATTATCGTCAAAGAGATTCATATATTCTCTTACCTAGGATTGGACTTAATATGTATGGGTTCCTGTATGGTATTGAAATTCTCGGTCTTCACTCTAAATGGCAATTAAAGTATGAAATATTTACGTTAAATAACACTCAAACTTAAATCATTTTCCTAAATAGCAATTAAATTGTTTTATTCCCTAAATAGCACTTAATAATGTCTATAATAACCAGTAATAACGAATATTTACTTGAATAATGACTAATGAATAATGACTAAAAGTGCTATATTGGGAAAAAAAGTACATATGATGCTATTTAGAAAAAATCATTATGTTTTAGTGCTACTTAAATAAATTTCTCGTAAAGTATATGTCATCCATAGAAAACTTGCCCCACATTTCATTTCAATAATTCTAAGATGAATCGGGTAAATTCTACCCGTGGTATTTGAACTTTGGTTATTTTTTAATTAAGTATTTAAAATTGATTTTCTATTAAGAAAATAGATAAACTTACCAAATCTTTCATGAAAATGATTTTACTCCCTACGTCTTATATCTTTTTTCTCGTTTTAACTTTTGTGGTAAACGTTTTTAAACTTGACAAATTAAAAAAAAATACAATGAATTACAGAGTATAATATAAATTTTATATCTGTAGTTTCAATTCGAAATGTAATTTTCAAATATCATATTTATGCGGAGTATAATATATATTTATATATAAATAGAGATTTTAGTGGCCAAATTGTTACAACAACTCAAATGTCAGCACTCAAGTCTTTCAAAAAACAAAGTCACCACTCAAAAATTACAAGAACCAACAGATACCCTTAAACCACAAATGCTACATACTTTTGCTTCTTAACGGCACATTAGCCCATACACCCAAAAACGGGCAACTAGAGGAGATCACCATCCTCTTCAATGTGGAAAGAAGGCATGTTTCTCATAGAAAGGAGAGACCATTCTCGAGTATCTTGTTCCTACAAATCAATAGCTTAAGACAAAGCACAAGAATCTATAACTTATGGCTGCTTTAAGGCAAAACACAAGAATCTATGACCTAATCTATGAGTATATAGGTCACGTTAGAAAACCGAACAGTGGTCTGCTCATTGTTAGGTGGGTGGTATCTCAGATGAGATATTTTCAAATGGTTTGAAATCTCGTGCGTACGTTTTAAACTTAGCCACTGAATATAAGCATTTGCAAGACCCAACTAATTTAGTCACATGTGATCTATCTTAGAGTTATTTTAGATAGCAATAAGTGTTTATAATCACAATTTAATTAGGATATTTGATATTGAATCAAGGTTCAATCGAAATAATCAAGAATAATCATCATCATAATATTTAAATAATAAGTAGCGGTCTAGCATTGAGTGTTAATACTCTAGCTTACTGTCATGTATCAACTAGGATATTAGAATTGATCAAAACATCATATTTAACTTGAAAATGATAGTATTACTTATTTATAGTTGAAAAATAGCAAAATATGATTTACAGCTTTAAATTTTGGATTTGTCAGTGTTGAATAGCCCGTGATGGTCGACCGTTACCGCCACTGTACTACTGGTTGTGCGATGGGCGACTGTTACCATGCAGCCGTCAACCGTTATTTGTAACAATGTACTGGTTATGAGACGGTCGACCGTACCGTGCTAGTGCGATTTTCTCCATTTTTATTCGTCTCTCCCTGATTGTGACTAAAATGGTCCAAATCAGGGCACACTTTTTCATCCAACTTTCTCCGAATTGAAATCTGATTGCACCGTTGCAATCAGACAGTCAAACTCTACACAACATTTTAAAAATTAATTGACAAACTGCATAAATCACTTATTTTTTGGTTCATCTCAGTAATTAATTAATTCTGATATGCCTATTTTTGAAACGTTACATTTCTCTCCCCTTAAAATAATTTCATCGTCGAAATTACCTAGGTTATTGGTTGCTGAAGAGATTCAGGTATTGAGTTCTCTTTGATTCTTCAGTTTCCCAAGTTTACTCTTCAGCGGGTGGAAGGAGAATAAGAAAAAATAACGGGGTCAAATTGAATAGTTTAAAATAAACATAATTGTAATTTGACCTAAATGACCTGATGGTTACCTGGAAACCAGCTCCAGGTACCATTCGTGAATGAATTTCAAAATTCAGATATTTTTAAGATAGAAAATAAAGTTTAGGTACCAAAACGAATAAATATTGAAAGTTCAAATACCATTCGTGAATTTTAACCCAAAAAAGGGAATACCCCAATCGAAAATATTTCCCAGCACTGAAAGCCACTTTTAAAGCGTTGTTTGGCTATTGACATATATCTCATACTTTCCGTTCCTCCCCCTTTGCACTGCACTCTAATCGTAAACAACAATACACAACTTAAAATTAGATGGAGTGAATACTTTGTATTAATCTCACTTTTAAAAAAATGGCTGGGCATGCTAGTCCTAACGAGAGCTAATCTTGGTTCCTGTATTTTTTCATATAAAAACCAGGTCTGACCCAACCTATTCAAATACTCCCTATGATTCTAGTTACTATTTACATGTCAAACTGATTCTATTTATTATACATTTTTATCAATTATTTGATAAAATAAAATTGTTTTGTCGCCATTTATTTTGCAGAAATTTAATATACTTTTTATTTTAAAAATCTACATTGATTTTTTTATTAATTTAAAATAATTTTAATCAAATATTTTAAATCGAACATGAAATTTATTTAAAAAAGAAGAGAGTATTACCTAAATCTATCTTTTTAAAGACGAACTAGACCGGCGGGAAGAGGCCAACGTTGTGGGTGTTTCTCTGTGCTTATAAATCATTTTTAACTTATAAGTCAGCAGATAATGTGTTTCTTTGTGTTTATAAGCTGAATTATAAACTGCTTATAAGCCAGTAAAAAAGTAGATATTACTTACTTATTTTTAAACTAATTTTTTCGTCTTTCTGTTTTGACTAAACTACTTACAAAATTATCTCTCATCTATTATGAATATCCTCAAATGAATTATATATCTGATGGCTATAAACCACCGAGAGTATAAAATAATACTCCCTCCGTCCCCCATAGATCTTCCCAATAGCTCTTTTTCTTTGTCCACAATAGATCTTCTCATTTCATTTTTTAACAATTAAAATACCACAACTACCCCCACTTATTTTATTTATTACACCTCACCCACCTCATTTAATACACTCCACCCATTTTCATTAAGGGTATTATGGTAAACTTTCACCTTTTTTCAACTCTCCTTAAAAACCACCAAAAGTCAAAATGAGAACATCTTAGGGGAACGGAGGGAGTATAAGTTTTTAGAGAGAGAGAGAGAATGCAAAGTGGGAGTATATTGATTTCAAAATCGGGTCCATTACAATGAGGGGTGCCACCCCTTTTATAGGGGTACAATACACTAAGTCAAAGTCCTCTGATCGAGGCTCGTCGTTTAGCGGACGTCACCTGTCCTTAGGTCTTGTCCCTTTCATCCTATCGCTTTCATCAAGTCTTTGTTGAACGTTGCTTTCCTCACGTCGTTGTCGCGGGGTTCGGGCTCGGCTTGGTTGGCCGAGCCAAGCAGGAGGGACGAGCGGAGCGCAGAGCCGGGCAGGAAGACGAGCGGAGCTCTGAGCCGGGCAGGAAGACGAGCGGAGCTCTGGGCCGGGCACGAATGTCCAAGCCCGATATTTAGGAAATTCATGTTGATGTCAGCCCTAGGATGACGTGGGGTTATTCCCCATCAGAAGCCCCCCACTCTCCGGGTTCCATGGCATCTAGCAGCGGAGCGCGTGAGAGTAGAAAACACTATGGACGGCCAGCCCGTGGTCCCACGCGTAGCTTGGCGGATCGGTGGTGACGTTTGGAGTTCCCCACGAACGGTTGTGGCGCTTCGCTTCTCCCAAGTGGCGGCCCATCATGACACCTCTTTGGCCCATCCTTACTTAGGCCGAACTCTAGTATAAATAGCCCCCAAGGCTTCCTTCATTCTCACACATTCTAGAGAGAGAAAACATTAGGGTTTGCTATTCACCGTCGTTCTGCGCCGCCGCTCGTTGCTTCCCGATTTTCTCCGGCGACGCCTATTCGAGGTCAGTTCCTCTGCTCTTCTCCTTCATGTCTGTCGAATCTTCCTTCCTCCGCACGTCTGAAGCCGAGCACGAGCTCGGGTTCGGCAGTCATGGTTCCGTAGCCCAGAACGACCGAGCGGAGCAGCCGGGTTCCCCATCTATCGAGGAGATCGCGGCTGTCGAGGCGCCCGGGGTTAGTGAACCCCGCCTCCAGAAACGCACCTTGCTTGTGGACTCGCTCATCCGCGAGTGCCAGTGCGACTTGTCGAGCGACGAGTTTCTCAAGGCGGTGCGCTACGTCGGCCCCCTCGTCACTGTCCGTCGCCCTACCCCGGAGGAGTTAGTCTTCGATGCTCCTCCAGGCTATTTTTCCATCCATCTCAAGTCCCTTGAGAGCAGCTTCCGCTTCCCCCTCGAATCTTTGGTCATCGACTTTTTTAAGTACTTTGACTTCCTCCCGTGCCAATTGGTGCCGAACTCGCACCGGTACCTGGCGGGGTTCATGATCCGCTATCGGGAGATGGGCGTGCGGGCCGACCTTGAGCGCCTACTGACCCTGTTCCGAGTGGCGAAGTCCTCCGGGTCGGATGGGGGTTCTTTCGCCGCTCTCTGCCAGCGGCAAAAGAGACTTTTTAAGACCAAGAAGGAATCCAACAAGACTTGGAAGTCCAAGTTTGTCTCCGTGGGGTCGGCCTCCCCCTTCCGAGACGCTCCCCTCAGCTCTTTTCGTAGGCGATCCAAACCCTTTGCCTCTTCCAAGGCTGTTGCTGATACAGACAAGTTGTGTTCGGGTGGCCCTTACGAGCCCGGGGTCTTAGTGAATGATGAAGCTCTCGCCAAGTTTGGGTTCGTCTTCCATGATGAGGACGAGCCCAAGCGCCGGGTCGTCCAGAGTCAGCTTGAGGAGGGACCCTCATGTTTTCTTTGTTCAATTCTTTGGCGGATTTATGCTCCGCTCGCAATTTGTTCAAGAGATTCGAACTTATCTCTTACTTTTCTTGCAGGTGAAATCATGATTTCCGCGGCCGACCAGAAGAAGATGTTCAAGTCTAAGCTGCGCGCTGGGTCCAGCCAAGATCGGCCCCCGCTTCCTACTCCCACACCGTCTGCCGAGCATGCCCAGGCGAGCAAGAAGCGCAAGGATGTGTGCTCTGCGAGGGAAGGGGCTTCGTTGAGCGGGACGAGGTCCCCACCTTCGCGCTCAGTGGATTGCGGGAACCCGGCCTTTGTGAAGGTGGCGTTCCCCCTCAAGCCTTCGTTCTTGCACGGGGACTACGAGCCTCGCCGTTTCCTGCAGAGCTTCATCCCTCCGCAGGACCGAATGGAGATTGGTTCGTCCGCCATAGAGGACCTTGCCTCCACCCTCATGCTCGAGGTTGGCTCGGTAAGTGTTTTTCACTTTAGTTTGGGTGCTTTTCCTGCCCAACACAAACAAATTTGCCGTTGTTGTAGGTGGCCATGTGCATCCCGGAACTGGTGGAGCGCATGGAGTGGTATGTGGCGGAGAAGGCCAAGGGCGAAGAGGAGCTTCAGAGGCTGCAAGAGCACGTGGCTGGCCTCGAGAGGAAGCTCGATGATGCGGAGGAGCGGGCTCGGGCTGCGGAGCAGGCTCGCGTTGCCGCTGAGGAGAAGGCGCGCTGCCTCGATGAGGAAGCCGAGCACGTGATTGAGGCCTTTCAGACCTCCCCCGCGTTCGAGGAGGCGGCTCTCTCCCACATGGACAATCTCTTGAAGGTCTGGGCTCAAACCCCCGACGGCCAGCGTCTCCTTCTCAAAGAGGGACAAGCCAATTACTCCATGGTTTGCACCGGGCTCAAGAAGTCTTGCTAGAGCGGGTCAGAGATGGGAAGGAACTCCCGAAGCCGTGCGAGAACCCTGAGGAGTTTGATTCCTCCATCTACTACTCCGATGATGAGGACGCTGCTGGAGGGGGTGAAGACACCGTCGGAAATTGAGCATGGTTGGGCCCAACGCTGAACTCCACCCTTTTCTTTTCAATGTAATGTTTTGTGCTTGAACAATGTGTTTTGTATCGCGCAACTATTCATGGTTTGTGATCTCTTTATCGTTTTGCTTCGACTCTTAATCACATTTCCTTGAATAAGTTTTGGAGGCTGAATGGCCGTTGACGGAGTGTTTGCGCTCGCCTATACGGGGCCGTGTCCACGCTTGGGCTCGCCTTGCCAAAGACGTGCTCGGCTCGTCTCGTCGCCTAACCGAGGACGAGCGCGGGCTCGCTTTATCCACGTGGTGCTCTGCCCAAACACCTTGGTCTTAGTGCCTTTGCCCGCCGGTCCAACGGGTTCCATGCATTGAAGTTTGTTTTCATATTTTAATCATTCTAAGGCGTTTGCGCCGTGTACTAGCCCCCTTTTTCAGGGATGAATAAAATTTGAATTCGGGTATGGTCTGCGCTCGGCCTTCCTCCCGAGGAGGAGCGCCGAGCGCGAGTGTTCGACCTTCATCCGGGAAGAACATCCGGGTATGGTCTGCGCTCGGCCTTCCTTCCGATGAGGAGCGCCGAGCGCAAGGGTTTGACCTTCATCCGGGAAGAACATCCCGGTATGGTCTGCGCTCGGCCTTCCTCCCGAGGAGGAGTGACGAGCGCGAGTGTTTGACTTTCATCCGGGAAGAACATCCGGGTATGGTCTGCGCTCGGCCTTCCTCCTGAGGAGGAGCGTCGAGCGCGAGTGTTTGACCTTCATCCGGGAAGAACATCCGGGTATGGCCTACGCTCGGCCTTCCTTCCGATGAGGAGCACCGAGCGCAAGGGTTTGACCTTCATCCGGGAAGAACATCGGGGTATGGTCTGCGCCCGGCCTTCCTCCCGAGGAGGAGCGTCGAGCGCGAGTTTTTGACCTTCATCCAGGAAGAACATCCGGGTATGGCCTACGCTCCGCCTTCCTTCCGATGAGGAGCGCCGAGCGCAAGTGTTTGACCTTCATCCGAGAAGAACATCCGGGTATGGTCTGCGCTCGGCCTTCCTCCCGAGGAGGAGCGTCGAGCGCGATTGTTTGACCTTTGCCCGGGAAAAACATCCGGGTATGGTCTACGCTCGGCCTTCCTTCTGAGGAGGAGCGTCGAGCGCGAACGTTTGACCTTCACCCGGGAAGAACATCTGGGTATGGTCTGCGCTCGGCCTTCCTTTCAAGGAGGAGCGCTGAGCGCAAGTATCCAGGCAGGCTCTGTTCGCAAAAAACTTCATTCCATTGAGTTCAACCAAAAGGGTTTACGGATTCCCTTCTTGGGGCCCGTGTACAACAGAGTTCTACTGATAAAACTTAACTAAGTTTTCAGCGTTCCATGTCCTGGGCACGTCCCCTCCGCTCGGCGTCTGCAGGCGGAACGTTGAAGGGCCCACCACTTCTTTGATAATGTATGGGCCTTCGTAAATTTTGGCGAACTTTCTACCTTCTAGGGGGCGGCTCACTGTTCTCTTGCGTAGCACCCAATCTCCTTCGACGAACCCACGCGCGCGCACGCGGCCGTCAAGGTAGCTCTTCACTTTCCTTCGATAATTATCTGCCCGTATGAAGGCCGCTTCTCGCCTTTCATGCACGAGGTGAAGCTCGGCTGCCAGGGCTTCCTCATTGCGCTCGGGGTCAAAGATCTCCTCCCGGTGGGTTGCGATGGAGATTTCTGCGGGTGCCCTTGCCTCGAATCCGTAGCATGAGGCGAAGGGAGTTTCCCCGGTTGCCCTTCGGGGCGTGGTCCGGTAGGTCCATAGGATGTAGGGTAACTCTTCTGCCCACTCCCCTCCGCAAGCTTCTAACTTCCGCTTTAGCCCGTCGACTATCGTTCGGTTGGCGTTCTCAACCTGCCCATTCGTCTGTGGGTACCCAACCGACGCGTAGCTGTGCTTGATCCCCCAACTTTCAAGGAAGTTGTTGAAGGGCTTGGACTCGAATTGTGTTCCATTGTCCGTGATTATGTGTTCGGGAACGCCAAAGCGGCAGATGACTTGCTTCGCGAGAAACTTCTGGCATTGAGCTCCGGTGATGCTTGCCAATGGGGCCGCCTCCACCCACTTAGTGAAGTAGTCAATGGCTACAATGACGTACCTTACGTTCCCGGTACCTCTAGGAAGCGCGCCCACGAGGTCCACCCCCCACCGTGCGAACGGGATGGCCGTGCTGATGGGGGTATAGTTTGTTGAAGGCCTCCCCGGTACCTTTTGGAACTCTTGGAAAACCTTGCACTTCCTCACAAACTCCGCGCAATCCTTAACAATTGTTGGCCAAAAATATCCTTGAAGGGTTATCTTCCTTGACACCGCGTAGGCTCCTTGGTGGGTGGAGCAGATCCCCGCGTGCACCTCCTCCATGACTTGCTCCGCTTCAGCTGGTCGGAGGCACCTAAGCAGCGTACCGTTGTACGCTCGCTTGTATTGCTTTTCGCCCTCCAAAGTGTACCCAGGTGCCCTAGTCCGGACCAACTTGGCCTTTATTGCATCGTCCGGGAGGGCACCATCCTTCAGGAAGGCGACTATGTCGTCCATCCAATCTCTTGGCCGAGCACAGATCACTGCCACAGGGAAAGCATGGATGCTCGGCTCGGACAGCTCTTCCACATTCCCCATTCGCCTGATATGCTCGGGCGTGTCTGAGCTCTGCTTCGACAAGATATCCGCCTCGGCATTCTCCGCCCGAGGGATCTGCTCAACACTATGCGCGGTGAAGCTCTTAAGTAATTCTAGGGCGGTATCTCTGTATTTCTTCATTCTTTCATCCTTCGCCTCGAACTCTCCCGAGACGTGGCCGACCCCTAGCTTCGAGTCACACTTTACCATTAGCTTTGTCACGTTCATCCCGACTGCTAGGCGTAGTCCGCACAGGAGCGCTTCATATTCCGCCTCATTGTTTGATGCCTTGAAACCGAAGCGAATTGAGTAATATGCTCTGAAGCCTTCGGGCGCGATTGAGGAGCCGTCGCTAAAAACTACCCACGAGTCATCGGCTTCAGGTTCTTCTGGACTCGGCTCCTCCCGAGCAGTGCACTCCACCACGAAGTCAGCTAGCGCTTGGCCCTTGATCGCTGGCCTTGGCTTGAACTCGATCTGGAAAGCTCCAAGGAACACCGCCCACTTGGACATGCGAGAGGGTGCGTTCGGGCTCCTGAGCAGCGCACCTATGGGCTGTTGGGAGAGCACTTGGACCGGGTGAGCTTGGAAGTAGGGTGTTAGCCGCTGTACGGTCGAAACCACGGCCAAAACCGTCTTTTCGGCTACTGAGTACCTGAGCTCGGCACCCCTCAATGTCTTCGCCGTATAATACACCGGGTGTTGAGCTCCACCTTCGTCTCGGACTAGGACCGAACTCAAAGCCTTGGGTGAAACTCCCAAGTATAAATACAACGTCTCCCCAGCTTCGGGCTTCGCGAGAACCAGAGGAGAGAGGAGGTAGGACTTGAGAGATTCAAAGGATTATTGGCATTCTTCCGTCCATACGAACCCTCGGGACTTCTTCACAGCTTAGAAGAACGGAGCGGCTCGGTCCGCTACCTTGGAAAGGAAACGGCTGAGCGCAGCCAACTTTCCCGTCACGCGCTGCACCTCCTTGACATTTCGTGGAGCTTCCATGTCAAGGATGGCGCGCACCTTCTCGGGGTTGGGCTCAATATCGCGCCTGCTCACCATGTGTCCCAAGAACTTACCGCCTTGGACTCCGAACGTGCACTTCTTCGGATTCAGCCGAAGGTTGTACTTCTCCATAATCTTGAAAGCTCCTTCTAAGTCTTTCGCATGGGTGGTCGCCTGCTTACTCTTCACAATCATGTCGTCGACGTACGCTTCCATGCTCTTCCCGAGGACGGGCGCAAAGAGCTTGCCCACCATCCTAGCGTAGGTTGCCCCGACGTTCTTGAGTCCAAAAGGCATCACCTGGTAGCAATATACTCCGCCGGGGTAGTGAAAGATGTCTTCTCTTCGTCCTCAGGGTGCATTCGGATTTGGTGGTACCCTCTGAAGGCGTCCATGAAACTCATGAGCTCGCAGCCCGCCGTTTCGTCCACCAGCTGGTCGATGTTCGGGAGTGGGAATGGATCCATGGGGCATGCCTTGTTCAAGTCCGTGTAGTCCACGCACATCCTCCAAGTATCTCCCTTTGGTGCTAACACCACGTTGGCCATCCACTCCGGGTACTTGACCTCTCTGATATGCCCAATGCTCCGGAGGGTGGCCACTTCCTTGGAGACAAACTCCCTCCCATCGGACGAGAGGAACCGCTTCTTTTGCTTCACCGGCCTAGCCTCCGGATTAACTGCCAAACGATGACATATGACCTTGGTCCCCATGCAAAGATCACACGGTAGGCGGAGAGCACGTCCACCAAGCGCTTCCGCTGGCCCCCAGTTCGGCTCGCCCCGACCTTCACCTTCCGCTCGGGTGTTCGAGGGTCGAGCGGCACCTCCTCGACCTCCTCGGCGGGCTCGGCCTTCGGTCATGCTTCCAGCTTCCGCATTTCTTCTTGTGCGTGCACGACCAACGTCTCATCCCTTGGCAATTTCTTCGTGATTCGGACGTAGCACGATCGAGCTAACTTTTGGTCTCCCCTCGCCACCCCGATCCTGGACGGAGTGGGGAACTTCATGCACAAATAGTATGGGGAGATCACACATTCCAAGTCCTCAAGGCCGGGCCGTCCTAGGATCATGTTGTGCGCGCAATTGATGCTTACAACCATGAACTCCATCTTCAACTTGGCCTTGTGCGCACCATCCCCTACCATCACGGGCACGGTGATGACTCCTTCGACCTCGATGGAGTCCCCCGTGAACCCGGAGAGAGGAGTGCGCACGGGCCTTAAGTCCTTGCGGTCCAAGCCGAGGTCTTGGAAGGTCTTCTCATACATTATGTTGACAGAGCTTCTCGTGTCCACCAAGGTGTGGTGCACTATGGCATCGTTAATCTCTATCTTCACGACCAAGGCATCTCGGTGGGAGCTCGACGTGTTCGGAAGATCCTTCTCCGTGAATTGGATCTGCTCTCGTCTTCCGAGCTTGGACGCCGGCGCCTGATGGACTTTGGCGACGAAGGCCAAGTGCTTCCACCTCTTCCTTTGAGCGGCGGAGTCCCCGCCAATGTTTCCTCCATGGATAAATCCCACCGGATACCCTTGGGCTTCGTCCTCGTCTAGATCATCGCACTCTCGCCCAATATGCCTCTTCTCGGGGTTCCTTGCTTGCGTTGCCACCGCGACCGGTTCGGTAGGCTTCCTCCACGTCCTTCCTTCCGGCGGACCCCGGGAAGGGGCTGCTCCATCGTCTCGCGGAGCCGGCCCTCGGGCGATGAGTCGCTGCATCTCCTTCTGAAGAGTGAAGCATTCCTTAGTGTTATGAGTGTTGTTGCGATGATACTTGCAGTACTTGCCACCGCTGGACACCGCGTAAGCCTCTACGTGGGGGAGCGGGGAGAGGACAAGCTCTCGACCCGTCCCTACGGGCGCGCCCACGGAGTACACTCCGGCCGAGGGCGTCCTCGGGCCCGCGGTGTAGTCTTTCTTCTTCTTCCTCTTCTTCGCGGCCTCACCAGAGTGTGCGGGAGCTCGCTTAGCCGGCGCGGCCTCAGAGTCGGGAGCATCATCGAACTCTTCCGAGGCCAAGAACTTAGCGCGCGCCAAGGTCTCTTGGTACGTGGGGGGAGGATTCTTGCGGAGCTCCTTCCTCACCTCTCCGCGGGGAAGGGCTGCTTGGAACATGGCCACCAACGCTTGGTCATCCGCCCCGTGCACGTCCCTGGCTTCCTTCTCCCACCGGACTATGAAGTCGCGGACCTTCTCTCCCTTGCAGATGCATATGTTGAGCAGGTGGGAGTAAGGCAGCCTCTGCCTTCGGTTGGCCGCGAAATGCGTCAAGAACTTCTCCGCTAACGTATCCCAATCGTCAATTGTTCCCTTCCGGAGCCGGTTGAACTAATCGCACGCAGAGCCCTCCAGCGTCGCGAGAAAGCATCGGCACTTGACCTCGTCCGGGGCTGCCGCCGCTTCCATGGAAGCGTAGAACTTGGACAAATGATCTTGGGGGTCCGTCGTTCCGTTGTAGGCCTTGATCTGCCACGGCCGAAAGTTTGCCGACAGTGGAATCAACATGACCCTCGGAGTGAACGGGGTTACCGTCCGCAAGATGGGCTGGCTGTATGGAGCCCTGGTCTCCACTCGGCGCTTGAGCTCGGCAATCTCACGAGCGAGCCGAGATACTCCTTGGTCAGAGACCTTTGTCTTCTCAGTTCTCGTCGGGCTATGGCGGCGCTGGGTGCGCTCGTCCCGCCTTTCTCCGCTCCGCTCGGGCCTCGCCGAGCGAGCATCCGATGTTGCGGATTCCTCAGCATGCCTCCGCCTCCCTTCGGTTATTTGTCGGCGGAGGTCGCCCGGGCAAACTTCCAGTCCGCGGTCGAGCCTGTCGAAGGCCGACACCCGGGTCTCTTCCCCTCCTAAGCGTCTGAAGGCTGACACTCGGCACTCACTGAATTCATCGTCCTCCTCCTCCGGAACGTCCTGCACAATCACCTCCTCGATCGCCGGGGCCTTGCCGGGCCTCCTTCTGCTCCTCCGGGTCTTCTTCCCTTTGTGTTGGGAAGTGGCAGCGTGTTCGGCGTGGGAGCCGAGCAGAGCTTTGCCAGCCCCGGCGTCGGGCACGTTCCCACCCAAGGCGGAAAGTGCCGCAACGGTCGCCTGGAGCTGCTCCGCGGTCACCCCCAAGCCGAACAGCACCTGGACCGCGTCCAGAGTCGAGCCAATACCTCCCGTACCGTTGCCGCTGCCCGGTGCGTTCTCCTCGCCAACTACGTGGCTGGTGGTGGGGACGCTGCTCCTTGTTTGCACCATTCTCGCGTTCAGGAGTTAACCTACGAGTATGTTCCTCTCCTCTCAATGAGAGCACCAATTTGATGGTTATAAACCACCGAGAGTATAAAATAATATAAGTTTTTAGAGAGAGAGAGAATGCAAAGTGGGAGTATATTGATTTCAAAATCGGGTCCATTACAATGAGAGGTGCCACCCCTTTTATAGGGGGTATAAGTCAAAGCCCTCTGATCGAGGCTCGTCGTTTAGCGGACATCACATGTCCTTAGGTCTTGTCCCTTTCATCCTATCGCTTTCATCAAGTCTTCGTTGAACGTCGCTTTCCTCACGTCGTTGTCGCGGGGTTCGGGCTCGGCTTGGTTGGCCGAGCCGAGCAGGAGGGACGAGCGGAGCGCAGAGCCGGACAGGAAGACGAGCGGAGCTCTGAGCCGGGCAGGAAGACGAGCGGAGCTCTGGGCCGGGCAGGAACATCCAAGCCCGATATTTAGGAAATTCATGCTGATGTCAGCCCTAGGATGACGTGGGGTTATTCCCCATCAATATCATTGAAGTCATTTAATCTAGATGAAAGAATTTTTAACTTATAAATTACTTACTCCCTCTGTCCGGAAATGTTCTTCCCGGGTTGATTTGTCACGCTTATTAAGAAATATTAAAAAAATGTAAAATTTTCAAAAATGTACAAACTATAAACTTTTAAATCTCTTTTTATTATTAAAAAAGTACTAAAAAAGTATATTTGTGATAAAATAGAAGGGTATTATTGATATTTAGCCTTAAAAAGTATACTAAAAAGGAAATGGAAAGAATATTTCCGGACGGACTAAAAAGGAAAATGGGTAGAATATTTCCGGACGGAGGGAGTATAAATTAAAAAAAGTTTTTAAACAATAACTCCCTGGGTACAAGTTGCAAAAGAGAACAATTCGAATTTCAAACCTCAAAAAGAGGGGAATCCCCAAATCGATAAAATTTCCCTGCACTCAAAGCCACTCTTAAAGCCTTGTTTGGCTACCGGCATAAATCCCATTCTTTCCGTTCCTCCCCCCTTTGCACTGCACTCTACTAATTTACAGAAGTGGAGTGAAATGGGCGAAGAAAAGGAAATGGAAAACGAGGCCAATCCGATCCTTGACATCAATGGGGTTCCCATTCATGGCGGAAAATACACTCAGTATAACGTGCTTGGAAACCTCTTCGAAGTCCCCTCCAAGTATGTCCCTCCTATTCAACCCGTTGGCCGTGGAGCTTACGGCATGGTCTGGTACGATCTCTCGTTTCCGCCATAGCTTCTTATCTTTGTCTCTTTTTTTTTTTTCTTAATGGGTTTTCCGCAGTTCTCTGTTAAAGTTCAGTTGGGATTAGGAATGAGTTTTGGGAAGTATGATTTTAGATTTTTAGCTACGATGGGTTGAAATTGAGCGTTTAATTTGGATTGGGGATAAAATTAGGTTTGATTCTCTTTCAAAGATGGAGGCGTGGTTGTCTCAGGCTTAAGCTCCCAGCTTCATCTTGTTACTTTAGCGTCTTCCGGCCTCCCCTGGGTTCATAGAGGCAGTAGAGCTAATGTTTGGGGCTTGGGAAGTTCCCAGTTTTATGATTTTTTTCCCTGCTAAACTGTGGTGTTGGGCATTTTCACCTTGTAAAACTGTTGATTTTGGATTTCATTCTTTTTACTTTCTAGTTTTGTTTTGATTTTGTGCTACTTTTTTTTATGACATTGTATTGCAGTTGTGCTACAAATTCTGAAACAAAGGAAGAGGTTGCAATCAAGAAAATTGGAAAAGCATTTGATAATAGAATTGATGCCAAAAGGACTCTCCGAGAGATCAAACTTCTTTGCCACATGGATCATGAGAATGTAAACTTTTTATTATTTGCAAACTAAACTCAGTTTGTTCATCTTTCTTGTTTTGTTGTTGCAATTCTGGTTACAATAATTGATCTCTATTGAATCCGATCTTTAGCATATCTGTTCTGCAGGTAATCAAAATTAAAGATATAATACGGCCACCAGATAGAGAGAAGTTTGATGATGTTTATATTGTCTATGAGCTAATGGATACTGATTTGCACCAGATAATACGCTCTCCCCAGCCACTCACCGAAGATCATTGTCAAGTATGTTTTGTGTATATATTGTTAGCACGTTGGCATCCCATATTGTGTCTGCATTGCATGTTGACCTTTCACAAATGTTTGCTTATTATAGTAACTTGTTTTGGTGTTTCAGTTTTTATGAGATATAAGGGTTAAGTGAGGGACTTGTCTTTTACATACGTAGATAGATTTCATAAGATAGACATGGCTCTTTATTTCTCTCTTCAGTGCCACAATCAGAAAAAACCATCAGTAAGGATAACCCGGAAAATGTTAGGGGAGAAACAGAGAAGCAGTAGAGGAAAATTGGAAGGAAATTCTGGGGGAAAAATAAAAGATGTGCTCAAACTCAATACATTCATAATTGATATCTGTTTAAACTCATTTAATTTATTTATTTGTATTATACAAAGAGTTAAGGAATCTACTGTCTACATAAGAAACAGATTTAGTCAAATTTGAATTTCCTTTGCATTTTCTAAGGTAAAACCTAACATAAGAAAATAACACTTTTTTTTTGTTTTCAGTATTTTCTGTATCAGTTATTGAGGGGGCTTAAGTACATTCACTCTGCCAATGTTCTGCACCGGGACCTCAAACCCAGCAACTTGCTGCTCGATGCAAACTGTGATCTTAAAATATGTGATTTTGGGCTTGCGAGAACCACATCAGAGGCAGATTTTATGACAGAGTATGTTGTAACAAGGTGGTATAGGGCGCCTGAGTTGTTACTCAACTGCTCCGAGTACACTGCAGCAATTGATATATGGTCGGTGGGGTGCATTTTGATGGAAATTATTAAAAGAGAACCTCTCTTTCCTGGCAGAGACTATGTTCAACAATTGTCCCTTATTACTGAGGTATGTATGCATGTATTATGAGGTGTTGCTAAGCAACAAAAACATTACCCCAGTGCCTCAAAGGCTCCCGTGCATTGCGTGGTAAGGGTGGTCGGATATATGCAGCCTGACCCCTATGTTTAAAGCACAAAGCGGTTATTTTCAAATGTCATGATGTGCGTTGAAAATTGCATTGACTAATTGGTACTTTACTATTGAAAGAATCGCGTACAGTTTAAAGAGCCATTTTGCTTTATTCCGTCTACCCAAAGCCAAAAAATAGTGAATCTTTGGCTCCATCGGAGATGATGAAATTAGTGACTCGTTGCTAAGCATGCTTGATAAATAATTATGGATGTGTGACATTCTTGAGAGTGCGTTTGGGAGTAGGATGACTTATTTTCAAGTAGCAAGTGAATTTTTGGGGAAAAAAGCTACTTTTACTTTTAAAAAGAGTTTCTGGTAAACAAGAAAAAAAATAGAACATGATGCCTTTGACAGTAAAAAAACACTTTTAGTCCTGTTTAGGAATGCAGCAGATCGGTCAGTTTGGCACTTTTTCGAAAAAGCACTCAAGTAAAGTGCTCTTTTCGTAAAAGCAGTTATACCATAAGCTGTCCCAAATTGGCTCTCATTGTGTTGAATTTTATGTTAATTGGGCACTTAAGAAACGAGTCATGCATATAAGCTCAAATGAGGTTTCAAGCCCAAACCAATTGACAATGAGTTGAGGACCTCTCAAGCTTATACCGTCACGCCCTTGATTTTTATTAATTTCGGACAAACCCCACACACAATAATGCTCTTGAATTTTATGACTTTTGCATGAACATAGACATACATTTATGTTGAATTTTTGTTTTCCTTGTGTGAAATACTAGCTATTAGGTACCCCAGAAGACTCAGATCTCGGGTTCCTTAGGAGTGACAATGCTCGGAAATATGTAAAACAGCTTCCTCATGTTCCAAAACAATCATTTTCTCAGATGTTCCCGGATATGCCCCCCTTAGCCATTGATCTTGCAGAGCAAATGTTGGTGTTTGATCCTGCAAAACGTATAACTGGTATGGCTTCTGGTTACTTCTTGTATAAGATGAATTGCATTAGGAACTTGGAAAAGGGTAGTGAAATGGGAAAAAGGGCATTAAAAAGGGCTTGTTATGTTCGGTTCTAGCTTGGAAAATGCGAATGAGACTCGAATAATGGAAACATTTAAAAAAATGAGCTCAAACAAAAATCTACCTTCCAATTTTTTTTATCTATTTTCTTTTCCTAGCATTTTCCGAATTCCAAATGGATCCAAAGGGTACATTCTAATTAATTATCCCACTTGTTTTGATCATGAAGTTGAGGATGCCATGAATCACCCATTTTTATCAAGTCTTCACGAAATCAACGAAGAGCCCACTTGCCCTTCTCCCTTTGTCTTTGACTTCGAACAAGCAACTCTAGACGAAGAAGACATAAAGGAGCTCATATGGAGGGAGGCCCTAAGGTTCAATCCAATCGACGAAGAGTTGAGAACTTGAGATCTCATCCTTTTTTAGGCTTTGTTTTGTTTCGTCACTGCTGGTATTGATTTTAGCTTCGGAAAGGCGAGCTGATTTGTAATATGTTGTTGTGTTGAGATGTTTCATATGATTTGCGTTGGGGTGGGGGTGGGGTGGGATGTATTGTGAGTTGTATGCAAGGGTGTGTAACTGAGGAGTTGATGGATTCATGTTTTGTAGCCAAGAATCATATTATGGTTTTTAAAGAAAGGTTGTGGAGATTGTGTTCCAGTATTATGTATCTACGAGGGCACGGGGTAATACATCTCAGCGCATGATGACTTTTGAAGGTATGACATTTGATGTGAGTTTTGAAATCTAAGAGAAACGATATGAATTCTAAAATCTAAAATGAAATTGTTTGGAGAGAATTAAAACTATGATTTAATTAGAGATAAGTAAAGTGGCAGGTAACAATGATGGTTGATGGTGACAATGGTAGTGTGTGTTGAGAAATGGTTAACAGTTGAGGGAGAAATCGAACTCTCATATTGATATCTTTCAAACTCGAATGACATCGAAACTCTCAATTTGAAAATCGTATGATATCTGGAAATATCAAATTCAATATCTCTTTTAGTTTCACCAAACACCAAAAAATAGTTCTAACGTCTAGAAATATCATAATTCATACGGAGTATCTCTTATTTTCACCGAACAAACTAGTTGGGAGAAATGTTGAAATAAAAGTTAAAAAAAATAGAAATAAATATTACTCTACTCTACTCCTCTAGAATATTAATGGATAAAAATTTAAAAAAATAGAAAAAAATATTAATAGAAAAAAAATTTAAAGCACGGAGTATGTTTTTTTATACTCCCTCCGTCCCAAATTATTTGTCACATTTGCTTTTTTATAAGTCGCGGGAATTTTTGTTTATTTCTACATTTTCATTGATTATTTGATAAAATAAAATATTCTTGACATCTCTTATTTCGAAGAACTTTTCATGTAATTTTTGATATGCAATTTTTATTTTTTATTTCTTTACCAATATGTAAATAAAATGAATTGAAAAAAATTGATATTCTGTCTCGGTAATAGAAATGTGACAAATAATTTGCGACGGAAGGAGTATTTCATATTTTTATTTAAAATAATTCATACTCTACTCTTCAAAAACATTCATTACCTATTTGTTTAACTATTTTTGAATATTTGTAATTTTTTTATATGTCTCACTATTTTTGTCCTCACTTATATATTCAATACAAGGTACTTTTTACTACGTTGTACTAATAACTTTCGTGTGTCTCGCAATCATTTTTATTTTTTTTACTTTTTAACATTAATATCAATTACTCTGTATAGTATTCTTAATTTTTTTAAGTTTACGTATCACCTTTTTAACATTAATATCAATTACTTAGTAAATGTTCTTACTTTTTTTAGTTTACGCATTACTGAATAGTGAGACAAAAGAAGTACTACATCCGTCCTTAATTATTTGTTCAGTTTTGATTTATTCCAGTCAACCATGACTGATTTTTTTTACCTATAATTAAAGAAAAATTACATTGTATATTATTTAGATAGAATAATATTTTGAAAAAGTTCTATAAGATAAATATAATAAAATAATTTTACTATTAATATCTAATATAAATTTTATTTCATTAATGACCAAGTTTACCGATTTTAAATACAAAAAAAATAAAATTGAGAAATACTCAAGAACAAAGGTAATAAATTTTTATTAATATTAATTGAAATTAATATTAATACATAAAGTGCCTAAAGTGTAAAAGATACAGTAAAAGATAAAATACGTTACACAAAAAACGTTGAAGGAACTTGGCAAGAAGTGCGTCTCTTTCCCGTTTCTCTCTCCAGGCAAGAATTCTGCTACAACGCTCCTCTTCTTTTTATTTTGCATCCCTTCAAATCAAACAAATTGAAGCTTCTCAGATTCATCTAGGACTGTCCTACTCTTAGTTGGGTACCTCTGGTTTGAATGATTCATTGGTGTGTCTAGGTTTTTGGTGATGCATAGAACATGTTTGATGAAATGTTCAACCCAAAAAATAGGAAGAGTTTATATTATGCCTGGTGTGGTTGGAAAGCATCAAACAAAATTTGAAAGCTAAAACACTGTTTATAAGCTATTTTGGTTTATAGCTCACAATTTTATCCACTTCTGATTGAGTTTCAAAACCTAACAATTAGAGAGTTAGTGGAGTCTCATTATTTGTGTTATCTGCAATCTGTTGGAGCTTCAAGCCTTTAAAGTTTTATACATAATTGAAGACATAATTCACATACGATTCACAAGCATTGACCTATCGAAGAGTGTAGTACGGACTATTTGCTCAACAATTCTTTCTAAACTGTCCTAGCTGAGGTTTAGAGTTCAAAGCTTGAATTCTTGAACACAAAAACTAGTCATTTTCTCAAATGCCAATTTTGTGTATGCTTAGTTTCTGAATTGAATTGTATAGATAGGGAGTTTGCAAATTTTGGTTATTCATGTGCTAGCATTTAAGTTGGTGGTTATAAGGTTATTGTTCTTTTTGTAGGTTACTTATCATTTGAGGAATTGTAAAGTTTATTTAGGAATTATGAATTCACATTATTTATAAAATGTGATTTGTTTTTTGAAAATCTCCCCTATTTAGCTTATATTTAAACTAAACTGTAAAAGATTATACAGAAAATACAGAGCTCACTATATTTTAAATTAAACTGTAAATTATTAGGCCCACTCTGTTGAAATAAGTAGACATATAATCAGCTGTTCTAGCAAGATAATTAGGAGCATGATTCACTAATCTATTAACAAAAGATAAAGAAACAGAAGTAGAATTTTACACTCCTTAAAACAAATGTCAAAATACCATTTCAGAAAGCATTCTTCACTAAAAAGCAATCCATCTCCAAAATTAACAGTACCCTCAATGTTATTGATGAATGTGAGACTTGAAACCCTCAATTATGAATTACTCGGTAGTTAGTGGTTTGTGCACTTTTAGTATTTTTGATTAGGAATTTATATATACCTCCTCCCTGCCAATACCAGAAAAAGAATGAAGTAAAGTAGCCAATATATTTTGTTCGGGAGCTATTCTCTCTGCTTTGGCACTTTTACGAACAAAACTTGTATCTCTTAAAATTGGTTTAGGGGCTCTATCCGAGACCCATACTAATCCCCCACCCAAGGCTATTATTGGTTGACTGATCTTCTGCACTTCTGTGTTGACTGATCTTCTGAAACTTGTTGCCTCTACTTCTGCCAAGTAAGAACTAGAGAAGTAATGATGGGCCTCTCCCTCCTTTTTGTATAACATGCTTGCAAGATCATTAACATTGAAATAGCTGTAAACTGATCTTATGTTTCATGCTATGCAGTCTTCCCTTTTTTGTATATTTCTCCTTACTCGGAAGATGGTTTTTTTTACTTGAATATTGTAATATGCAATTATTATATTTTTTTAAGTGTGTAGTCTTTTTGTATTATCCTTATCTTAATTAATTGTTTGAAAACATCGTGCTAGATAGTGTCTAGATCCGAATATGTTTTTGGAGGATAATAATTGATGGGCTGTGGAGATTGACAACAACAACAACAACCCAGTTGAATCCCAGTTCTCATCCCAGACCCCTCCCACACACATGCGTCTGGAATGGGGATGAGCTTTCATCTCTCCGACAAAGGTTTCTCTGGGGGCCGAGTTGCAACTTTCAGCGTAACGAACTGATTGACGATGAAGTAATTAATTTCTTCGCGTCTGTCAAATCTTTAGGTAAAACTATTATTCCATCACACTCCAAAGCCAAAAAATGTTGGCTCCATCCGAGATGATGGAAAATTTAGCTTTTTTTTACTTAGTATTTGCATTAATTGTTATTTACATATCATTTGTATCATGGTTTTGATTTTAAATCTTGTTTTGCATTCTTTTTTGCAGCCTTGAATTGCAGTTGTAGCTTCTGATCTCAGTTGCACCAGAGTCTTTTTTTTTTAATATTGATGTGGACTCGTGGGAAACCAAACACTAATTTAATCGAAAGCTGCTCGATCAACCAACTGAGAATCTTATCTTGTCAGCTTGGAAGTTCCCGACACTATCATATCCAGACAAAGCAGAGAGCTAGCTCTGATGGCGTGTCATGTTTGTCATCAGATTCGGCCCAAAGAAAGGCCCGTAGCATCGTCGGAATTTTCTGGGATTTGGATAACAAGCCACCAAAGACGTTACCTCCTTTTGAAGCGGCCTCGAAGTTAAGGAAGGCAGCAGAGCAGTTTGGGTTTGTTAAGTACATGGTTGCTTATGCTAATCAACGTGCTCTCAGTTATGTCCCACCTCTTGTTAGGCAGAAGAGGAATGATAGGAAAGTGTCGAATGACTTAGAGTATACTTGTAGGGTGTGTGGAAGGAGGTTTTACACAAACGAGAAGTTAGTTAACCATTTTAAGCAAATCCACGAACGTGAGAATACAAAACGAGTGAATCAGATTGAGAGTGCAACAGGGAGTAGGAGGGTGAAGTTGGTGGCCAAGTATGCAGCAAAGATGCACAAGTATAAGAATGCTTGTAGAGACATTTCGACCCCAAAAGTCGGGTACGGTTTGGTGGATGAATTGAGAAAGGCTGGATTTTGGGTTAAGGCCGTTTCAAACAAGCCGGACGCTGCGGATGTTGCTCTTAGGGATCATTTGGTTGATATGATGGCCAAAAGGATGATTGAATGTGTGTTTCTTATATCTGATGATTCTGATTTTGTGGAGGTTGTAAAGGAAGCGAAAAGTAGGTGTTTGAGGACAGTGGTTGTTGGTGATGTCATGGACGGGGCCCTCAAGAGGACTGCGGACGCTTCATTCTCATGGGCAGAGGTAGTGATGGAGAAGGCTAAGAAAGAAGCAGTTACGGTTGTGGGGCGATGGAAGGACCGTGACGTGTTGAAAAAATTAGAGTGGACTTATGATCCTGAGAGAGACAAAAAATACTATATGTTATCTGACTTCGAGAGTGAGGACGATTCGGATGTTGACCTTTTTGTTTCTGAGGAAAATGATGATGATGATGATGATCATTTTCTACACAAGGAAGACAATGGAGCATGGTGGGAGCTGGGTTCTGAGACGAAATGTGATGGATCCATTGGGTACCCATAGTAAATCAAGTATCTTTGGACATATTTGGCCGTGCCAGGCACTTTTTCATTCAAAATATTCAGAAGATTCAGCCAAACAACCCTTACTAGATGGGCCTTCAACATGAAAAAAATGAATAGCCGAGGCAAATGAGTTAATTGTGGTCTTTGTGCAATGGCTAAGACAGAAATTGATCTTAATTACTTAATTATGCCATGAGAGAATTATTTTGAGGATTTCTTTCTTAAGCGTGCTTGGACGAGAGTAGTACTAGGATGGGTGGCTAATCCAGAAACTCTAACAGTGGTTTACTCTCTGGTGAAAAGGGTAAAACTTTGGCTTGAGCTGAAACTCGCCCTCTTTCTACCGAACTTTTTGCTGCAGCACAAGTATGTTTGTGACTTTTGGAAATATGATCCCAAACTTTTTGTTGAATCATCTGCCCCCATTAATTTGTCCAGTTCTTCTGGGCTTCACACTAATGCTCATTTTTTCCAGGTCTGTTCCTAAAAACTATAGCCAATGACGAAAGGATGTCACTAACTGGCGCCTGAAGTCGCTTTCAGAGGCAGTCTCCTTGGAGTGTTTTCTGCCCGCAAATGAATACTCTGACTACGAGCCTCTCCTAGTCCCTACAAACCACAGTTGCACGCAAATGTTCCTCTGGGAACCGTTTCGGAAGGAACTTCAAGCAATTCCAGACTTGGAGGTGATGATCTTAAATATGATCCCTTTTGAAAAACTCTTACTGTTCTCCAAAGTTTAGGAAATGGTGAAGCTATTTTTGATCCTGCACTCGTCATTGGTGCAATTACTGCCAAGGACCAAGGGCCGTTCACATAACACGGTCCATCCGGGCCTGCTTTGGAGCAGGCCCGGCCCTGAGGTAAGCCAGAGGAGCCGTTGCCTAGGGCTCATCGTCAAAGTGGCCTTTTTTTGTTTACCTACAATATGTTAAACAATTGACATAAAATAAAAGAACGGCAAATAAAATATACACCATTTCTTTTGACATTAAACTTTAATATCATCCATAATTTAATATTAGGCATTTATGGTGTCCTGTTTTTAAAATTGGTGGTTAATATCCTCTAACTTCCCCAAAATCATCGTGATCTCGCCTCTATTTATCCCCACCACTCCTCTGGATTGTCAATTGGCAACATGATTTCCTAGTCATTGGCGGCGATCCAGGCGAGTGGTTGTGGGATAGGTCGGAGAGGTTAGAAGGATAAGAATCATTAATTTTACGAATGAGAAATTGTGGATGTCCAATGCCATATTATGACATTAAGATTTAATGTCAAAAGACTCCAGGCCATAGCACATAGAAAGAATGGCATTTAGGCACATTTACAATCATACTCCGTAACACCGTGCGTGCGCGTTAAATTGGTTAATAGAGCTTGAGGCGGGTTTCAATTCACGAGAGTGTATATGGTACAACCGGCTGTACCTAGAATTAGGTACATCCGGGTAGTACTCATTCTGAAGTAGAGTAGTACTCATTCTCAGATATATGTAATACGTTCATTTTAAATATCTAGTACTCATTCTGAAATAAAATAGTACTCATTTTAAAATAATGTAAAACTCATTTTCATACATCTGTTTAATACTCATTTACGAATAAGATAGTATTCATTTTTAAACAAAGCGATACTCATTCTCTAATAAGATAGTATTGCTTACTCTTTATTTTCTTCAAATTTTACAGAAAAATATAATCCTCATCCTTAATCACCTCACCACATCACTGTTCCTGATCTCGCTAGGGTACTACAAACATCTCCCCACTCATCCCCTTCATCCCACATCCTCCACGCACCCACCACAGCATCTATTACCGATCACGGCCTCCTCCACGCAGCCCCCACCACATTCGAACTTCCCGCTGCATCCTTGAACTAGGGCGGCTGTCCCTCCTTCGTTGGTGCGCCTCCCCTTCTTCCGTCGATCTAATTGCCGGCTGTACCTAAAAAATGGTACAGCCGGATGTACCTTATAATTTGTGTCAATTCACGGACTTGTCTAACCTATATTTCCTTTTCTAATTATTTCTTTTTTTAAAACTATTTTATGTCTAACCAATTTTTTTCGTTTCTAATTATTTCCAATTCTAATTTTTCCTTTTTTTAATTATATTATGTTACTTTTTTTAATGAAAATGACTCTAGCTTTTTTTAAAAAAATATTTGATAAGTCGATTAGTTTTTTTTAAAATTTTAGCATTGTCAAGTACTTTTTCAAATTTTAATCAAATATTTATGTTTTGAAGTTTTAATTTTTTTGTGTGTACAGACCATGCCTCCTTTAAAATGTATTCAATATATATTTTTTTCTTTTTTAGAGTATATAAAATCCATTTAACCTACACAATCCAAAATTTTCGTACTCACACTACACCCAAGCAACCCTCACAAATTTTTAAAATTAAGGAGTATTATTCAACATCTTCGAGTAGTGAGTAGTGACGTACAATCGAAGACGGTTAGTGCTATCGATTTGGCCTTTGTGTGTAGTGTTTAATTGTTTTATGTTATTTTTTTAATAATGAAATTGACTTTAGCTTTTTTTATTTAAAAGATTTTGCATTTAATGTTTAGTTTTTTTAACATTGTTAAGTACTACGTATTAATTAATTTTTAAAATTTTAATGAAATACTTTTTATTTTTATTAATTATTTTTAGGCTTTTTTTGATATAGTTGATTTAAAAATATACAATTATTTATTGATTGAATAATCATTGAAGGGGCATGAAATGGACATGAACTACTACACACTCTTTTACCTCAATGTGAGTCTTTTGACATGACATCTACATGGCGGAAAATGCTTTAAAGGAACTTAAACCACTACGCATGGTGTAATAATTAGTGAATTGATTAGATACTACCTTGTAATTAGGGAAAGTAAAAATTGTGATATTTCGAACCTGATATTCTCCATTCTTTTCTAATTGTCTAAATTACTTTAAGTGTCAAACGTTTAACTATATACTACGAGTTGTTCTTTCATGGTCCTAAAGTCCACATGTGAAATGTGAATCATTCATACTTTTCATGGACTGACATGTACTGTATATATTTTCTTTTATAAAAGGTCCAATTCTTTTGTAATATCAAATGCACTAAGGTTTATACAATTGGCATATACTTTAGAACCACGTAAAAATTTACTACTCCCTCCGTCCCTGAGTGTTTATCCACTTTCATTTTAGCACACCATCCAATGCACTTCTTTAATCCGTTTTATCTTGTAATTTGTATATTAAAAAATTATAAAAATTATATATTAATAATCTATATGTTAAGACGAATCAAACAAAATCACACATGACTATTTTTAGGCTTACACATTGAGAGAATTTGATGAGTCAAAGTGCTTAGATGAACAGTTCCAAAAGTCAAAAGTGGACAAACACTCAGGGACGGACCAAGTATGTACTACATACATTGTATATAAATATACAATGATTTAAAAATAAAAATTGATTCAAATTACTAGTATCGAAAAAATTCATTAAATGTAGTATTTTTAAAATATTTTTACTAGTATATTTTACGAGATATTGTAGGTTAAACATTATGCTACAATAGCAAACATGAATGAAGATAGTATATAATATAACTATGTACTCCATGTGTCCCATTAAAGTTTTACCTCTCTCTCTCTCTTGTAATTTATCTATCAAAAATAACTCTTTTTTGTCTTTTCATTTTCTAACATTTTTTCAATATTCTTCTTAATTTCCGTGAAATTAATTTAAGATGGATGAACTATATCCCATCAGGCCATTACTAAACTTCAGTACTTCACTTTTGACATCTTGTTGGGTTACTGTTGTATACAGGTAGATCACTGCAATCTTTTGATAATTGGGACCATATATCCACTACAAGATGAAGCTAAGCTAGCTCAACTGGTTTGAGAGAAAGAGATAAATTGCATTATCCTATACTGTGAGTTACTAACTTAATTTCACTGGTTTCCATTTTCAACCAAGTGAGAACTCTGTCAAAAAATAATACTTTCACATTTATCAGCTAACCTAAACCTAGAAATTTTCTTTGTGAAAATTGAAGCGGGTTGACGTATTCAAGCTGAATTCCCGGCAAAGCTTCTGTAGAGATTTTGTAAGCGTAGGGCTCCCACAATAGAATACTCCTGCAGATACCATATGAACTATCAAGCAATGTAATACAAAACAGACCATAAATAAGATTTTGGGTGGTTGCAACTTGCGAATTGCCAGTTGTTTAGTTAGTTTCTTTTCGAAATCTAAAAACAAGAGTTTGGATTTCTGTTATAGCTTTCATCACGATTAACATGATTATAATAGTATAAATATGCGTGAATTTCGTTTATTATCCAATGTAAAACCAAAAATTCACAACCTGCAACCACCCAGAACGTGGCCTTAGAATTTTAGTTTCACGAAACACAACCAAGTAAACAAAATATATTTTCCAGTACCAATTCTAGAAGAGGGATGTGCGGCTGCCATTTGAGAGAACACTTTTTTCCAGTTTGGTCTAGCAAAGTGTGTTCTTATCTGTTGAAAAAGAAGTGTTCTTGAGCTACTTGTTTTTTTCTTAATAAGAATCGATGAGTGGTCTGTCAAGTAATTACCCGGCTGTCTGAAACAACATCGACTCCATTTTTGGCATGTTGCAGAGACTGCACCATGGCAATGAGTGCAGAGCGGGCATCTCCTTCTTCGTACATGCTCGTTAAATAGTTGTGCATCTCTATCACATGCTGTAATGTTTATAGAACACACATCATTAGTTCATAAGTACGTGTTACTCCGTAATATAGACAAATGATGAGATGTTAAAGTCGTTAGACGGTTTATATATGAATTAGGGCTCCCACATTTCGGTCATACTCAGCTATGTCATCCATGACACCTTTGAACCATTCAAATGATCCTTGCTCTCGTGTCACCCAGTAGAAATAAGCTCTATGAGGCCCCGCCCTATTAGGTTCCACGTTCTGCTCCTGCATATATATAGTTTAAGAGGATAAATATAGAAAGCATCGTGTGAGTTTTTACTTTTTAGTGTGGAATCTCAAACCTTGATAACTTAACATGTCTAAAGCCGCGGATTCATGAAGTTATTAGAATGACAGTTTCTAATCTCTATAGTAACTCCATCACAGAGTTAATTACTACTGATAATGTGTTTGCAATATAGCTAGTCGTCACCACGACCTTAGTTGAACAGGATCTATTCTATAGGCTTGTACCTCTGAATCTTTAGCTCTAAGGAGAGAGTAATAATAGCTACTCATCATCTGTGACCAAAATGTCCGGTTCAATAATGTGGGATATAACCTTGAATGTAAGTGTTCGCCTAACTCGATTACTACAAGGCGGCTTTGGGTACCAAAAAAACTGTGCAGGATTGACCTAAAGTTGACAATATTTCAATGTGAAGTTGATATTTGGGCAGACCTAACACATACTCCCTTTCTCCCTAGAAAAAGTCACAGCTTGACTTTTCCAATCAAAGTTTATAAATTTTGACCAACACTAACGTACAAAATGAATTAAAATTTAATCCAACTTTAATGTCATTGAATTCATTTTTAAATGTATTCTAGAGTATATATTAAATCTATATAATTTGGTTAAATATAACCATAGATATTACTCATTAGTGGTCAAAGTGTTATATCAAAGACCATGAGGAAAGTAGATAGAGTTGTAAGAATGTTTTCCAATATTCACAAGTGTGAGAGTAAATAAAAATAATAATGTGCAACAAAATTTCACCATTTTTGGCTTTGGGGTGTGATGGAATAAATCAAAATGGATCCCTAAACTGTCTGCGCTTCTTTAATTAATGAAGTAGCAGTTAGTCAAGCAATGCAACTTTCGACATTGAGCCAGGGGTCTCTTTGGAAACAGCCTCTCTACTTTCGAGTAGGGGTAAGGTCTGCGTACACACACCCTCCCCAAACCCTACTCTTGTGGGATTCAACTGGGTTGTTGTTGTTGTAATGTGCAACAAAAAAAAAAGAATAGATAAGGCACATTGCACAAGGATACATCCTGGTTCACCACAACTTATGGCTAATTGGCTAGTTTAGAATACTGAATGACTCACTCAAGATTCCACTACCTATCAAGCATAAGTGTGCTTAACAAACCATTACAACACTTAGGGATACCTCACCCTAAGATTTCACTAGCTCGGAGATACCTCACTCTAAGACTTTGCTACTCGGATATACCTCACTCCAAGACTTCACTTGTACAAGATATCTCTCTAAGATTTCACTACAAGAAGAGTAATCTTCTCAACACTCAAGGATAAACTCTCTGATAAGAGTAGAAATCAGTTACAAATAAAATCTCTAATCTTATTCACTCAATAAAACAATATGAAAAAAAACTCAATAAGAATTATTAAACACTTGAGAATGAAAGTATAGAAGGCATGTATTGTAGGGTGAATTTCTTAAGAAAAGTTAATTGAGAATGGATATCTTTAGATGCAAAAGACAAACTCTATGGGTGAAAAAGAAGAGCTGATGCAGCAAAGCAGCTTGTTGATCAATTAGCACATCCCCGCTAAGCGATTAGCAGGGCTAAAAATTGCCCTACGGAAATGCCCAAGTCTCTATCTAATCAATCAGCACCATTTTGCTAAACGTTAGCAACCTCAAAAAACAAGAAAGACGTTGCAGCTTGAAAGGGACCCAATATGGATAAGTATATGAATGTGGGATTCCTTTGAAAACTTACTCAAGGTTTAAACTAAAGCCATTTTTAATTGGTCTGCTTCAGCTGTGTTTGACCATTTCTAATCTTTGCTCAGCTTGTAATTGTCATTTATGAAATTGTGTAAATCAACACTTAAGTGACTTAACAGAATAAAAAGGTTCAACTCATGCATTCCAACCCTATATTAAGTATATACTTACAGTGACAACTGCTTCACTGTGTAAGATATCTTTGATAATACTGATGAATGGCGTTGCTCCAATGCCTAAGCCAATGAGTAAAAGGATGTCATATTTCTTGTAATTTTGAGCTGGGGCACCATAAGGTCCTTTTATTAAAATCGCTGGAAATCTGAGCCACCAAAGGTAGTATATACTCTGTATGTTAGTTGGGTTGATGAAAAAGAAGCTGTGAAACACTACTAAAGCAATTACAAGTTAATTTTCTTACACTGTTTGTGACTCCCCAGAAGCATTTGAGTAGGCTTTAGTTTCCATCCTCACAAGATTTCCCTTTCTTGATTGCACAGATTGCGGTTCACAGGCCTGCATTCGGAAGAGTTAGAACACAAAAACCAAATAAGCAAGTCAATGTTTGATAATAAAAAAATGTATATAGTTGATCACTCATCTCCTGATAACTAGAAAAATTAGTGCAAACAAACAGGCACTACATTTTCCTTCCATATTTAGTGTGCTCACACGCACGCGCTCACACACACACACATATGCACATGTAATAACCTTTGCAAATTTGTTTTTAAGCTCTGTCGTCCAATCGCCAAGCGTACGAATGTGGACACTTAAGTAGTTGTCATCAGGTGCAGAAGTGATTGAGAAAGGATGCCTGGAGGGAGAGTAAAGGGGGACTAATTTTAGCATAAATCGCAACACGGGCGCTCCTAAAAACCATTTTTGACTCAATTCATTACCATTCAAAACTTGATATATCCCGACATTTTACGAAAATGTACATTCCACTCTTATACTTGAATGTTGGAGGCTTGCTCATGTACAGTGCTAAAACATTTCCTGTATATATCACTGCCTGTAAATTTTTCCATAAAACATTTACTTAACAAAATGTTCCAAAAAAGGATTTTATGCAAACTATTTTCCTTATGTTGCAGAAACAATAAATAAAAAGAGAAGTGTCATGTTGCTCGTGCACCTTTTTGATGTTCACATCGTATTTATTTTCATAGACGAGGAAAACTCTTTCACTGGCATATGCCATCATTGGTACTATGATATACATCCACGTCTGCTAAAGGACTGTTCATATGTTAGCATGTTACAAAGACAGATTTTAGCTGGTAACAAGCATGAACAAAGATTTAAAAAAAAAAATTGGAATGCTTCTTCTTGTTTTGATTGTCGTTACATAACTAGTGTAAGAAATGATAATTTTTTATCTGATTAGAAGTAGACCAATCACCAATGCCTTAAATGTAGGGTTGTATTGTTATAATGTATTTTACCATCAATGATTTGGCATAAAAAAGCATGGTTAGTAGAATATGATCAAACATACCGTCTTTTTATACCATTCTTGTGTGAGGAAGATAAAGTAGCCGTGGATGATAAAGAGGAAGTAGACTACTACCAGCAGATGATGTGCATACCAAAAAGCATTAAACCCTGCTAAATGATGAAGGGGTGGGGGCAGTTTGATGACATTCCTTCTGAAAGAATGTGTTGCCAAGGTGAAGATGAATACCATCAAAAGACTCATCAAAATTCCAGTTAGGCCCGGGGTTGATGCAACCAAGTTAGCGTAAGTGGGCTGGCGATACTTGAAAGGCTGCCCTAGAATCGCCATGAATTTATCTCTTGAGCATGTGGCGACTCTCACAAAGTTGCAACTTGTATGCATCAGCGCATGAACAAACGTCGCAATGATAATTGCAAGGGCGATTATCTTGTGGAAGGCGAGGTTATCATCAAAAGGGATTATTGCACCGAGGAATGACTCTCGGAGGGTGGTGAGAGTTCTTCTGCACACAGGGAGGAGAATGAGAGCCATATTGAACTTTAGTGTCTCTGCAGAGCCTTTGGCTATGCATACACAATAGCCCATTATTTGGAAGGCTGCTAGGTGCTTGAACTGGTTGAACTTCCAGACAAAGAGTGTCATGTTGATGCACACCCACAATGTGAGTACCCATATTTGTTGCCACTTTTCGTGCATCTTTTCTCCTGTCATAGACATGAATTTGCTCACTGGATCTCTATACTGTTTCGGTATCATCGTTCTTGCCAATGTCTGCGTTTTCTTGAACTTCTGCTTGTTCCCGTCTTCCGATCCCACAATGTCTCTTAGTAGTGTTTCAAGTTTCCACATCTGCTTCATTTTACGAATTGTCAGTCACCATTAGGAGTAGTCCAAGTCCTTATAAAGTTAGACAGATTTTTGGAAGAGAAGTGAAAAAGAAGACCTCTATGTATCCATTTTGATCAGGATCAAGCTCTTCCATGATTAAAGCGGCATAGGATTCGGCGTGTTGCTTAAACGTGGACAATTTGTTGGCAGAAGCACTCATCACTAGAACCTTTTTCCACAACATTCTTACTTATTGGTTGTTGAAAGTGAACCATATTAAACTCATAATGTAACTTTTCTCACCTCTTTAACCTCTTCTTCTGATAGCTTCCCATCACCATTCTTGTCACACCTAAAAAATCCAGTTGACTTAGACCTCTACTCTAACACACAAGATGAAATCCTCCACAAATTTCTTACATGTCAAAGAAAATATGAAGCCGTGTATCGAGGTCTTGGTCTGTCATGTCTTCCCAAAACATTCGCATTTCTTCTATAGTAATTCCATTCTCTGCTTCAATCTTCCTCCGCCTTGCCAAAGCATCAAATAACTCGGCCGCAAATTCCTTGCTGTCTCCCATTCCTTCAAGGCATAAGTCATACAAAGCTTGGGTTAATTATAATTTAACTCTTGAGCCATTTCATGTAATCATGTTGACATATATTTTGTCCTATTCCTATAAGTCTATAACTTTCTTTCTGGTTGACTTTTTACAGCATTTGGTGCAAGACTTTGATCATTGTTATCTATAGTTCTACATAATAAAAAAAACAAATGATATTCATTTCATTTTATCACACAATGTAATCTTAACCCAAATCTTCGTGAAATTCAATAAATTTTGATCTCAAGATTCAAGACAGGGATAAAATTATGGGACGGAGTGAATATAAATCAACATATAAGGCATTAGAGTACACCAGATTAAATGGTTTAAGATGGAAATTGAAGCTTTGATATGGTATTAGAGCCCACTAAGCTCAAACAAACAATTTGATTCTAGTAAAGCTTCAGAAAATAAGAATAAAATTTATCACATGGTCTCTATTTCTCAAACAAGGTTATTCAAAAAAAAATATTACCAATGCAGGCCCCAAATTTGTGCCTGTAAAGCCTCCCAGCATCTGCATTTTGATTGAAATGTCTCTCAATGTCTTTCCATGCATCTGCTTCCTTCCCCGTGATTGATCTATCCAGAAACCTTAGGCCATTGAACCCTCGCGACGCCCCTGATTGTATTACGGGGGCATCCGACGTGTTCTCCGTCTCCGCGTTTTCCAGAATCCATTTTACTGATGCTCCTCTCTGCAATTGTCCATTGAAAGCAGCCATTGATGTGAAATTTGGAAGATTTTGGACGAAGATTTGGAGGCTGGATTAGGGGAATGTCGCGATGGGGAGAACCCTTCCCATTTGTCAAGGCTGCCATTGTCATCTTCCACTGTAAGAGCATTGGCAATGGAAGTCAAAAAATGGAAAGCCACCCGGTGAAGTGGAGCATTTCAACCAATCAAAAAGAGTCCACTCAGCGTGTGGCGAGTAAGTAGAGTAGCATGTCATGCAGTCGCAAGTAATTATTGTTTACACTTTTGTGACATATTTTAATTATAAAAATTTTTTTGCTTATCTTTTTTTCATAAAAATATATGCACTTCATTTAAAAAAAAAAAAACCTTTTTTCTAAAAATAAAAAAATAAAAAAATAAAAAAAATAAGAAAACAAAAGAGAAGAATGGCTCGCCCAAGTCATGCCTTGCATCGAAAAATACACAAGCCACGCATGGCAAAATGGGTAAATTGGTGATGTGGCATGGCGTGGCAGGCATTTGCCTTGCCACTGCCAATGCTCTAATGGCAGGTGTGAATTTTTTTCCTCGGGCCACAGAAAATAAAATAGTTACAACACTTGTTTTGTGATTGGTTCTTTTAATATGGTGTTAATTCGAAAAATTGATAATTTTTCTTCTTCCTAAAGAAAAATGCTATTTTGCTAAACAAAAATGTTATAGTGCCTCCAAATAGTTGATGATTATCATATGTGCCGCAGAGATGATTATCATCTGTGTTATCTCTACGAAGCGGATATTTGTATATAGGTTTTACGGTAGCATATTGGGTCATGCCCATTTTCTGTACTTGTATTTATATTATCTCACGATTAATGAAATCCGACGAGAGCCTCCGCTAAGTGTGTTCATGGTATCAAAGCCAAAACCTAGGCCTATGGATTCGATCGCGCCCTGTTTTTTGTGAGGAAGATTCGTCTGTCGGTGGTCAGACGACATCCTCCGGCTATCTATTCTATTTATTTCCTTGACCGTGCGGCTTTAGGGACCCAATTAGCTTTCTTTTATCTGGGAATTGGAACAGCCGTTGTTTGTGTTGCAATTGAATTGGTTGTGCTCTGTTCGTCAATCATAGATTGAAATTGGGACATGCATACTTTGCTTTCTTTTTTTGCTCTGTTTGTGTTCGCCTTTGGCGTCATTTTAGAATTGTGTGGTATGTCTTCCATGGAGCAAGGTGAGTGGCTAGTTGATAGTGGAGCTTCTCATCATATGACAGGGATGCTTTCGTGTTTGACTGATGTAGTACCGAGGCCTCCTTGTACTATAAGTTTGCCTGATGGGAATCATGTAGTGGCAAATTCTTGTGGCCGGGTGCAAGTGTCTATCTTTTTAATCTTGCGCAATGTCTTTATGGTCCTAATTTGAAATGCGATTTGATATCAGTGAGTTGTCTTTTCAACTTTCATAACTGTCATGTTCTTTAATGATCATTCTTGTGTGATAAAGGACCGAACTACGAAGACGCGGATTGGACAATGTGAAGCATGCAACGAAGTCTATGTCTGTCCTTCTCCAGCCCAAGCATCCAAAGCTGAGTCTGTTTCTTTATTGCATCAACGTCTTGGTCATTCGTCCCCTCAAGTTTTGTCTCTACCTCCATTTAATAAGAGTAATACTAAAATTAAAAATTTTCAGTCTTGTGATATTTGTTTCTTCTCAAAACAGACTCGTTCCCAATTTCCCCTAGTCTTGATAAAGCGATGCATTGTTTGATCTTATGAAGTGCATATTAACACAAAAAAATTATTGAAAAATAAGAGACTATTGATGTATGTGATGAAATCTTACATTATTAATATTGGCATTATCAGTCTTATTTTAGGATAATTAAATGGATGTTATTTTAGTTTTTTCTCTATATTTTATTCCTATTTTAATATTTTTTAAATATTTTGGTGAACTTAAGTCCACTTTGATTTTGTAGACTTTACTTAAAAAATTAAATTTTAGCAATATTGATAAACCTTTTCAAGTTTTTTGAGCCTACCATATTAAAATGATGTGAATACAACCAAATACTCCGTATTAGATATGAGTGCTACTGTGTTAGGACCATCAAATTAATGCTCAAAAATGACAAATTCTTATATAGATTTGAGGTTTACACTCACTTTATTAGACTTTATTATATAAACAGTATAAAAAAATCAAACTTCTACAAAAAGAATCTACTTATAAATCCATGAACAAAATGGAAAAAAATCATAATTTTCATGTGTATCTTAAAAACAGAAAAACAAAATTAAATTTGAATTGAATGGGAAGGGTAGCCGAATAGGGGGAATATAGGGAAGAAAACGAAAATTCAGTATCAGGAAAATATGGCCCACGTCACTCCTGCTTCAACTCGGCACCTTGACTCAGTGCCCAACTCACCCTTCTCCTTCTCTCCACCCCCCTTCCATCACCCATCAACCAAACCCGACTCTTTCCGACCCGCTTTCTCTAACACTCCCTTTTATTGCAATTCTGCAAACCCTTTCTCTCCATCTTTCTGCCCATTCTCGTCTTCTTCCGCTCCCTCCCGCCGTCGTCTTCCTCCGCCTTTCCACCTCCGCAGCAGCTTGGGTGCACCGGTTTCTCCCCAACATTCGCACGCAGTGTATCCCCGACCTCCACCGGCGGTCGATTTCCCCATTTTATAGGGGTTCCGCTCAGTCCTCTGGGAAGGCATTTTTATTTCCCCTCCAATGGTGGCGTTCAATTTTCCCTCCTCCCTCCCTCCCTCGCTCTCCGGATCCCAGGTGATTTTCGATTCTTTATTCTCTGTCTTCTCTATTTTTTTGGTGCCTTTTAATATAGTGGGAAATTGATTAATTTTTTTTTGCAATTATTTGGATTTCGCTGCTCAATTTTCAGTCTATGTATTTTTGGTTTAGAATTTGAGATGTTTTATTCGGAATTTGAAATTTTCTAGGGTTTGAGTGGACAGTGAAGTTGGGTTCTTCAGCATAATTTTGCTGGGGAGAGGGCGTGATTTTGGGTTGATGTCACCTTGAATGGCTATAGAAAAGAATTGCTTCAAGCCATCAAAATTGGACTCGGAGCTTTCTTCACACAGTAGGGAAGTAGTGATGTCTAGTGACGAGGAGGAGTTCCAGCGGTATAACAATAATTCTAGTGCCGTTGAATCCGAAGAAGACGATGACGAGGAGTTTGACGATTGTGATTCAGGGGCCGGATCAGACGACTTTGATTTGCTGGAACTAGGTGAGTCTGGGGAGGAATTCTGTCAGGTTGGGGATCAGACTTGCAGCATTCCTTTTGAACTGTATGATCTCCAGGGTTTGGGTGATGTCTTGTCCATGGATGTCTGGAATGATGTCTTGAATGAGGAAGAAAGGTTTACTCTCACACAGTACCTTCCTGACATGGACCAAGAAAATTTCATGAGGACATTGATAGAGCTTCTGACGGGGTGCAATTTGCATTTCGGGAGCCCTCTCAAAACTCTGTTTGATATGCTGAAGGGAGGGTTGTGTGAGCCAAGAGTGGCACTTTATCGCCAAGGATTGGTGTTCTTTCAGAAGCATCATCATTATCACACCCTGAGGAAGTACCAGAATGTGATGGTCAACACTTTTTGTCAGATTAGGGACGGATGGCGAAACTGCAGGGGATACAGCATTGAGGAGAAGCTCCGCGTTTTGAACATCATGAAAACTCAGAACAGTTACATATCTGAGAAGATGGAAGAAATGGAAGAGAGTGATGAATCTGAGAGAGAGGATTCCGGCGATGCCTCGTTTTGGAGTAAGAGAGTCAAAGATCGAAAACATGGACAAGTTTTACTATATCCTGGAAAGCAAATGACTGTAGAAACTGCAAAATTTGGGAAGCAAAATTCAAAAGGTGCGTTGAAGTTAACTGGGACATCTACTGCAAAAGAGTTTTCTGGAAGCTTCCCATCCGTTCATCATGAAATGGACACTAGAGCTGGGACCTTCGGTGCACTGCCCCTTTCTCATCATATGAGAGATCGGTTATTGGGCGATGAGGATGACGATGGAGGAATGCATGAAGTGGCGGTTCAGAGAGATAGAAACTTCTCTCGAGCTGGGGTGAAGGATAAATCAGGGAATTTAAAGATGAGGAGTAAACTGGATGGATTGAGAACTGAAGAAGAATACTTTGATGGTTTGACTGGACGTTCTGTGCCTTTGAGAACAGAGTTTTATGGACCTGGCAGGAAAAAGGCTGGCAATCAGTTGTTCAGTGTCCAGGGGTTGAACAAATCCTTGAATGGTAGAGCTCCTTTAGATTTTGGGAATAAATCAAACTATGTTGAGAATCTACAGCAATATCCTTTTGAGAATTATATGATATATGGGAAAGGTCGGAGTCCAAATCCATCTCTAAAAGGAGGCCAAGTGGAATTAGCTGATGATTGTGAGCCATTTTGGCATGGTAACGAACAAACGGGTCCTAATTATTATAGCAACCAATCTCATCGGAAATATGGTGATTGGAATTCCAAAAGCAAAAAGTTGAAGCATCAAGAGCCTTCTGAGTTTCATTCAGGATATGCCAAAGCAAAACCATTTCAAGGGAAGTTCAAGGCATCCTTGCACATTGATCAACGAGGTGGGGCTGGGTCCAACAAAGGCAGAAGGGAAATTATAAAAAACGAAGACACCGAATCTGATTCATCAGAAGGAATTGATGAAGAAGAAGATGATGCTGACAACAATCCCTTGCTAAGGAGCAAGTTGGCATTTCCTTCTGATGCCCTCCCAGATATGAAATCTGGCTCAGAGGCTAATAAGAAGGATCAATTTGTTCGAAAAAACACAAAGGGTGGGTTTCTGCCTCATGATTTTGATGAACCATTATTAACTTCATCAAAAGCGGGGACGAATCTTGTCTCACAGAAGAATGGGAAGAAGGGTAAGATGCTGCTGCGTGATCATGAGCATGTGAATATTTTATCTGCTAAAGACTTGTGTGGCAACTACTTAAGTGGACAGGGGCATCATTTCATAGGTGATCATGATGAGGATGATGATAACCAACCAATCTACAACATTGCAAGGAATGACCGTATTAAAGGGGCATTGTTGAAAGGAGAAATTAGACATGAGTTTTGTGGTCCCCAGTCAAATGGTATGCCTGAAATGTATGGTGGTGATCATCATCTAGAAAGATCCGAGTTACAGTTAATAGGGTGTAACACTACAGCAAAGAAGCGCAAAATCAAAGAGGGACTCTCGTTTATTGATGAGCAAGCTGCTGACAATAATGAGTATAGTTATACACATCAGTTGCAGCAAGCAGAGGATGTGGGCTCTTCGAAGAAGCAGCGGGGGAAAAAGAAATTGGAAAGCGACACAGAAAAAGGAGTCTCTGAGCTGCTGCCACCATTGGATATCAGTATTAACGAAGACGATAGTGCTCATCATCACCAAGAAGCCATACAAGTGCAGAAAAAACCATTCACTTTGATCACACCTACTGTCCATACTGGCTTCTCCTTCTCCATCATCCATCTTCTCTCAGCCATTCGGGTGGCTATGGTCACTTCCCTCTTAGAAGATTCTATGGAGGTCGTTAGCAAGAAAGAAGATGACGGAGTTCGAACCCAAGCAGCAGAGTTGTTGGACATCAACAATAGCTCACTTTCTCCTTCTCATGAAACGAGGGCTACCCCGTCTCTAGATATTCAAGAAATTGTTAACCGTGTGAGATCCAACCCTGGAGATCCCTCCATTCTTGAAACCCAAGAACCGCTCCTAGATCTGGTCAGAGGGGTCCTCAAAATATTCTCATCAAGAACAGCACCGTTAGGAGCAAAGGGATGGAAGCCTCTTGTTGTTTATGAGAAACCATCAAAGAGTTGGTCCTGGGTGGGCCCAACTCATCACGAGGCACCTATGGATGAGGAGGAAGTCACCTCTCCAGAAGCATGGGGCCTTAACCATAAAATGCTTGTTAAGTTAGTTGATTCTTTTGCCAACTGGCTGAAGAACGGTCAGGAGACACTCCAGCAGATAGGGAGTCTTCCCCCTCCTCCTTCCTCATTGTCGCAGTATAATTTGGACGAGAAAGAGCGGTTTAGGGATCTGAGGGCACAAAAGAGTCTCAGTACCATTACTCCTAGCTCCGAAGAAGTAAGAGTTTATTTCCGGAAGGAAGAGGTCCTCAGGTATTCAATCCCTGACAGGGCCTTTTCTTACACGGCCATCGATGGGAAGAAGTCTATTGTGGCCCCCTTGAGAAGGTGCGGCGGCAAACCGACATCAAAAGCCCGGGACCACTTTATGCTTAAAAGGGACCGACCGCCACACGTGACGATCCTGTGTCTTGTACGGGACGCAGCCTCACGACTACCCGGAAGTATCGGGACCAGAGCCGACGTGTGTACTCTGATCAGGGATTCACAGTACATTGTTGAGGAGGTTTCTGATGCACAGGTCAACCAAGTGGTCAGTGGCGCGTTGGACCGTTTGCACTATGAACGGGACCCGTGTGTGCAGTTTGATACGGAGAGAAAGCTGTGGGTGTACTTGCACAGAGAGAGGGAGGAAGAGGATTTCGAAGATGATGGGACCTCATCCACTAAGAAGTGGAAGAGGCAAAAGAAAGAAGCTAATGAAGATGTTATTCTTGACCAACAAGGAGGGGCTGCTGCTGCTGCCGCTGCTGCTGTGACCATTGCTTCTTACCACGACGATGATGAAGATGGTGGGGATCTTCCTGGCGAGGACAATTTTGATGATGGTGAAACATAGAGAACCAAAAACCACCTTCTTCTGGTGAGTATATTTATGGTGTCTCTTTCTGTCAAATTCCATTGTTTTGTACGTATATTAAAAGACTAATGCTAGGGCTACACCAAGTTGTACCTATACACCAAAGAGATTTGTGGTGGAGAGATGGTTGGGGTACAATTTGGTGTACCCCAAACATTCTTGGTATATTAAGGTCCTGTTTGGCATCACGTTAGAGGCTAGCGTTAGTGTTTTGGAAAAAAACTATCCGACGGTAGCCTTTAGCGTTATCATTTCAGAACTAATTTACACCATTAAAATTTTATCCAAAACACTAGTGCTAATAAAAAATGTTGTTCCCAAACAAGACCTAATTTTGGATGGGGTTTCTTATGTGACTTTCAGGATGTGTGTTGGGTGGTGGATGCAAGCTACCGGCGCGCGTGATCGTATCATGATTGCTGCTACAAGGTCTGCTACGCTCTGCACTTCAAGAAGTTTTATGTATATTTTGTGATGCATATTACAGTAGCACTCTGATTATATGAATATTATCCTGGTGGATGATAGCTAGTACTTACTACTACACTAATAAAAGAGTTATTTTTTTTTCTTTTGCCATTCTTCATATGGACTCCGATAATTATGCTGCTCGTACCACACTTGGTTTCGGCATGTTTGTGTAAATTTTTATAATAATCTTGAAAAAAAATGTGTTTGTTCGAGGTTCGTACCACTAATGTGTCACAAATACGACGACTCTGACTGTATAATTTTGCCAAACTCAACACTCACAATGTGACTGCTAGTTTCATACTCTTAAAATTTTGTTTGTTCATCAAAGAATGCTCATACCAATGTTCCACAATGTGATTGTTAGTGTTAGATGGTTGTTTCTATGTGGCCTTGTGAATCAATCTCTTTGTTGACTAGTTTATTCTCCGTTTGAATTACTCAACCCTTAAAGGAAAAATTTACATGAATACTCCAAGAAATGAGCAATTTATGTTAAAACTTCATAATTTAATAATTGAGGCATGCGTCACTCCTAGAAATTGCTCATTTTTAACTCATTATTTCAAATTGTCATCTAAGCTAAATACGTGACATTTTAAGTTCTGATTGTTACTCCGTATTAAATTTAAGTTGGTAATTAATAAAAAAGATTTAAAAAAACATGAAATGCAGCAACCCAGTTGAATCCAAGATAAACATTCTTATCTTTGTAAAAACAGAATCTACTTCTATTAGGCTTTAGATGCATTGCATTTACCAGTGACCCTTTTAGTATTGTATCTTGACTTAATCCATTAAGTGCTCAAGAACAAAACATTGGAAAAATCAATAAATAAGAAAGAGAACCGTGGGGGGGGGGGGGGNTCTGGCCAAAATATAAAAGAATAATTTGTGAAGACAAAACACCACACTACAGTCAAGGAGTTGTTGATGCACAAACTATACACGACGATGTGCCCTAAAAATTCAACCTCAAACTCAATTGATGGCAGTAAGTGGAAGTCTTGAATCTCTCAGTCTCTGTGGGCTCTCACCAATGTGTTGTTGTTTTAGGTCTCCATTCGGTAGCTTCGACGATTTCACGTCCCAAAATGACCTCACCAACTCCTCAAAAGCTGGAGTCCGGAGTTCTTCAATGGAGTCAACGCTCGGAAGGTTGATCGTTCTCTTCGCCGGTGTAGAACAGGATGGCTCGTCGACCTGTTCGTTGTCATCCGAGAAAAAAAAACATTTACTTAATCGCGCACAACAACACCTTTTAAGTACCTATTTATATGCTCTTATTACAACATGCGCTTCCGCCAAACGCGGCCTTACTGTGTATTCTTCCGACAGGCATTTTCCTGCGTATTTTCTGATCTCAGCTACTTTGTGGAGGTGTCCGGCGTTCAACTCTCCCAGTTGCCCACAGCAAGGAACGATCATGGAGTCGAGGTTCTCGCATGCGTCATGGTCAAGTTGCAAAGAATCTGCTTGAGTTTTTTTTTATTTATAAAATTAGTAGAAATAATGAGATTATCCAGAGAAATGTGCTAGTGCAAAAAGAAAAATGGATGACTTACTGTCAATAGATGAAAGGAGATTCTTGCTTGCATTGTCTGCATCTTCAAGTGCAGATGATACACCTGAAGAAAACTGTGTCCGCAAGGATTGATTGGCATCCAATCCTTCCCTGTACAACCCAGAAAAAAGAACCCTTTATTACTCAGTCCTGTTATTCTCCATCCATCTCAAAGTACATTTCACACTTCCCTTGTTTCCTTTCGAGGAAAGGAATGTGTGCCTCAAACTATTTATCTTTTTTTCAAACAAATTATATAACCATTCGTTTTATTTCAAAACATGAGAGGAATTCACCCACAAAACTAACCTAACTATCTCATGAACAGAAGCAACATTGGCATCCTCAAGATTGAGCAAAGATCTTTGAGCATCACTCCACTGCTGTGCACCCATTTTTGCCTTCTGCAAACTGTGGAGAAATTGGTTTTAATTTATGTATTATCACAGCAAGGTCAAGAAGATCCGAGATCATGAGATCCCTACAGAATGCTACAATCCTGCACGTACCAAGTTTGTAGGACTTCTTCCATTTCGTTCTTTCCGTTCTCCACCGTAGCAGTATGCTCTACGTAGTTTGATTCAGCTTTTCCCATGAAAGTTGTCCACTCGCTTTGTACTGAAGAACTCGAATCATGTATGGTTGACATCTCTTGCTTTATTTTTTCTGTCCTACTGGAGGCGCTTTCTCGGAGGCCACTGATTGCACTTTGAACCTATCAAATACAGAATTCGCACATTTTCATCAATTGCTTTTTGTGCTTATGTGTTATTAAACCCACCCAGGGCCTACACATAAAATCAATTGCTTTTTGTGCTAATTTTTTTCTCTCTTCAAATTGATCCCGCTACTATGCTCCCGCCCCAACTAAGAACAGTGGTTATACAGGCATACAGAACCTGATTTCCTTCTAGAGCACTAGTTTTTTAACACAACAAATCAAATTGGTTTAAGTCATTTGCTACCAAAACACATGGATTAGCTATTCTGATTTCATTTAATGCCTCAACAAAAATAAAGTAAAATATAATAAAACATGATTGGGAAAATTAAGAATCCAACTTAGCAAAGCTACCAAAACTGGGTGAAAAAAACGAATGCCGTGTTTACATACCAGTTCTTTCTTCCGAGCATTTGAGCTTGCAAGCAACTCTGCCACTTTTTCTAAGAGTTGTTTTTCTTCGTTCACAGCACATTCCTACAAAAACAAAATACATGGAAATACTTGTAGCCATGCAGGATGTCTGTATGCACCTATATTTTACACTTATGCAACAAAAAAAGTTGATGGGCTGACAAGACATGGTACCTCGAACTTCTTTTCAAGCTCAGTGAACTTTTGGGCATTGACCTCTTGTGCTTCGTCGACCATTTGACCCAACTGTGATACATGTGTATCTAAATTCTTTAAAAAACTTGTGGTTGTTTGGGAGATTGACCTTGAGGTTGTGATAGTCCTGCAGTGAGCCTGCAAATAATGGTGAAAACTCTATGAATTTACGCTTGAGTTAAAAAAAACCTGGGAAAAAGGAAAGAAATGGAAAGCACAACTTGGTACATACTTCACGTTGCTGCTGAGCATATGCAATTAATTTTTCCTCCTGACCATGAAGGCTGTTTTGAAGTTCATTGATCAATGTATCGGCCTTGGAAGCAATCCCCTTGAAGAACTGCACCATTCAAGAGGGATAAGAGACAAAGATTTAACACAGAAAGCTTGTCAAACTCAAAAGCCACTTGCAAGTTACATACCTCTCCTAGAGCAGACGAGTGTTTACAAACTTCAGAATTTAACCGTTCAAAAGTCAACTGAGAATTACCATCAAGCTTTCCCGCTAAATCATCCAAAGAATTGATGCCAGACCCAAACATGACTTTTAACTTCTCTAAGTGACCGCGAAGCTTATCGGTAGCCTAAGAGCACACACCCAACAGAATTGTTGATTAAAAATCTAACATAGTATAATTTGTTTGGCTTCAAATTCAGAAAAATACCTCAGTCTTAGTAGACACAAAAGATTTCATGTCTTCCTCCATGGCTTTTAGCTGTTGCTCTTGCTGTGTGGCTGAAGCAGCAACAGTCTGATGCAGGATATCAAGCTGTTGAGTTAACTGGGATTGAAAATTCTGGACGAGTACTTTATTCCCATCTTCTATTTTGTCCTTGCGTTCTGGAAAAGGATATATCTTTATGCAATATAAACACAGCTTCACAATCACCAAGACACCTTTTATATTGCACAAGAAAACATCGACACTTACCAATCTTGAAAAATAAGTTGGACACATCTGATGCAGCGTTCTCTAGTTCAGCTCTTAGTTCAAATGCACGCTCAACAAGTGCTTTTTCTGTACAAGGAGAATTTGGTGTTAAAGGATCATGCCTAAAGAGGAACTAGCTCACATACTCACATTATCATCTGATAAAGGGATACTCCTTATCCGGAATTAGATCAAATGATAGTAAATGACAGAGATAGACAATATAAAAGACGTGTATTTAAAAATGTGTTTTGCACACGGAATGCATAAATAGAGTGGACTATACCAGATTTCAGAAGATTTGTAATCAGATATTCCTTTTCTTTTATTGTTGCATTTGCTTGCCTTAGTCTTTCTTCAAGATCAGACAGCATATGCTGAGTTTCTTGGAGCTTTTTCTGATTACACAAAAAATACTGTCACATACAGTGAAACTAATGGCAGTGAAGTATTGGATTTATTTAACATAGATATTCAAACCTCTGTTTTTTCAAGTTTGTCAGTCAAATCTGCATTTGAGAGCTGTTCAGAATTGTATAGTTCTCGAAGCTCCATTAATTGCTGCGTGCAGAACAACACATTATTATGAATTAAATTTCTCAAAGAAAACTGTTAAAAGTGTAACTTAGCTTAGTCAACTTAGTTTAACACCTTATCTCTGGAGTCCATGTGGAGTTCCATTCTTTCTATCTTCTCAGTCATAGCCTGAATGAAAATGACAGGTACATACCTTTTTATGTCAGAAAATAGTTAGATGGATCATGGATGAACTTGAACATGGAAATGAAAAGATAGCAGTAACCTTCTTCTCAGCTTCCTCTTGAAGGTATCTGTCTTTAGGTATATAGATGCCATTCTTCTCTCTTGCAGCATAGACCTCTGGTTGACAATAAACATGTTTCTTAAAAAGATGTATGCATCACAAAAGCAGTCAAGATGGCATCTTTTTAAAATTGTCTGCAAATAAAAATAAATGTGCATGTGGCACATGCCAGAAAGCAATTACTGACCTTGCTTCAGTCGGTCAATTTCAGAGTACAAATCTTTAATCATGGCAGATTTCATCATCTTCTGGTTTATCTGAACAACCATGATACAACTTTCAATTAGCTTCAAATTTTGAGTGAAATCGAACTGATGCACCAAAGCTAGCAGTCAGATAGATATTCATAACAGTTTCAGCAAATCGGACCTCTGGTTTATTCTTTATATTTTTTGCACGGTGAGCATAATCTAGAGTACTGAGTGTCTCTTCCAAGCAAGTAATAGAAGGTGCTATTGTTGCAATAATGCATGTCTTTGTTTTCCCTCCCAGAGAATCCCTTAATAACCTTGTTAATTTGCTATCCCTGATATCCAAACAATATTCCTTATCATATGGTTTTGAAAATAAATTAGAAGTAAATTCACAGAGATGATTCTAGAAATACCTGTATGGGACATGGCCAGAGTGCTCAACTAAAGCATTTATAACACGACCAAGTGTTAACAAGCTCTTGTTGATCTCACCGGCTTCCCTTGCTCTACCCTGCAAAAGGAAGGTTGTCAAAAAACATGATCAGATGTTGCATGATGCATCTTTATGTTGTGAAGAGAAAGTATCAAATTGAAGCCAAATCTGAGGACCTCAATTCATAACTATCATGTTCTACGGAAGCAGTCAAGAAAATTAGTTCAAAGAGGCTTCTCGGTTGTATCCAGAGGATATTCTAATAGCAGAGGCTTAACACTAATATATTGATATTTTCTCACCTCTCTTGCACCAGAGCGTGATATGTTCTCCGAACCAGCAAGGTCCACAAGATTCAATTTTCCACATTTAATCACCTCTTCTCCTTCTGGAGTGCACTCCTTGATGTGAATTGTGATTGAAAATATTGAGTGGGAACGGCTACTTTGTTTATTCAGAAGAGTCTCAGCTGTACGCCTTTTAGCAGAACCTTTCTCCAATATCTTGTAAATCTCATTTGCAGTGCATACTATCTCCTCTTCCAAGCCCCTAACAAAGACACCACCCTTACCATCTTCCATGAGTGCTATTGGCTTCTTAGACTTGTCATCAATAAATCTTGAGGATTCTTCCGGGGCTAAAAGATCGGATATCTCCTCATTATACAGCTCTAAAAATGTAACCTTCATGTTATACTCAGCATTTTGAGCTTCCAGTATATCAAAAATTTGCTTAACGGCCCTTGGTATAACACCTGCATCACTTGGAAATTCCCCATTCTAGAGGGGTGAACAATCATCAATCCATGAGTTAATACGACACAACTGCAATGTCATGCATAATGAATAAGAGGTTGTTTTATAATTTTCAAACCTTTTTCCTTGCCCCACCCTCCATTGTGTATGTTTTTCCAGTTCCTGTCTGCCCGTAAGCAAAAATGGTGCAGTTATACCCCTCCAGAACTTCAAATACAATAGGGCATATGGCAGTGTTAAACAAATCCTTTTGTTTTGATGCTGGACCAAAGACCTATGTACATAAAATAAAGGTTTGTTAAGACATTTAAGACAACACACTGAAATATGAAAATGCTAATAGAGAGATGCAAATGAAAATTAACTCTAATAAGCCAAGCTATGGTAAATCCTTTATACTCCATAATTCTTATGTTAGCTTTAATTGAGAATTGAAGAGCATTGGGAATTGAACAAAACACATTGGTGAATCTCATTTCTAATGAAATAACTCTCTATTCTCCCCATTTTGATCGGGTAGAGCATTGGAAATCAAATTAATATCTTGGTGAGTTGCACCCTAAAAATTACTCAGTACAAACTATAACATCACTTCAATTTAAAGCAGCTCAGTCCTCATAACTATCTTTCCTTTTCTATTCTTTTTTCTACCCTTTTCTTTTGTCTTAACTACCTATATATATTCATCAGAAGAAATGCTAGAAAGAAAGGGAGCATTCTTTTTTTTTGTATAGCAATAAGGCTATAATGTGTTTATAAATTAGAAAATGACCTTGTCAAAGACGAATGTCCTGTCAATCTGTTTGTTAGCTATACTCTGAACAGCCAAAACTTCTCTTCGACTCTCATTGCAGGATATCACCACGGGCGTGTGAATTCTCGTTTCTTCATCGCTCAATGGCCTTACATGACAAGAAATTCGTGAGCGGATGATGATCAAATCCCAATTCAAAGGTCCGGAAGAAACTCAGTGAACAACTAGGAAACTCACCTGCACCGCAAAATGACCTGTACATTCACGCCTTTCTCCTTGTCGTGCCTCCCCGTCCCGTTCCCGTCTCCCGATCGCAGATCCCTAACAGTCTTCTCGCTTGACCTCGGCGTCTGGGATGGAGATATCGAGACAAAACCATTCCCGCCTCCTCTTCTCTGCTGCTGAGATTGTGAAGACTCCATTACTACCAATTTCTTCTTCGAATCCGGATTCCTTCCCCGCCGCCGACCGAATCAAGGGAGTCGCCTCCGTCTGAATCTGCACATCACAAATCAATCAAATCAACTGAAATCACTTCAACAGAATGAGACAACTTATCCTTCTCTTTCTCCACTTCACATCAACTATCAAAACATCATTACTTTTTTCGGAAAATTAAGAGAGAGAAAGAGGCAAAGCTGATGAAAAGTCACAATCGATCCCAACTGAAACCGTAACCCGCAAGCAAAATTGGAATTAAAAACCACCAAATTCAACTTCATCCTTCTTCTAATTTCATTCCAATTCTATGAAAAAACAAAACGCATGTACATACCACAATCTGCAAGCAAGCAAAAAAAACAAAAACTGAAGAAGATTTGAAGGCCGGCGAAGGTCGAGAAGCTTCTCAATCAAATGCAGAATCTTCAGAGAGAATGTGAAACCAGAGGAGACGATTTAGAGATAGAAAGAGAAAGCAGATTCAAATACTGGAGAGAAAGATAGAGAGAGATGAGTTAATAATGGATTGGTTTTTGGGTCAAAACTATAAAACCAGAGAGAGAGAGTACAGGGTGGGGTGTGAAGGTGAAGCTGGAACAAGTTGACGTTACGGGAACGTTTGAATTTTGTGGCAGATAATCCGAAAGGTAACGGTGACGGCGTTGGAGACCCGTTGGGGGTTTGATTTTTTGACCGTTAAGCGTGAAAATTTTAAAACTTGAAAAAAAATTGGGTGAACTCATAGAACCGTTTGGCCGGGATCTTAGCAGTAAAGTTAGGATTAAAATTTAAGAAAGTGCATTACTTTTTTCAAATTAATGAAAAAATCTATTACCTCACTCTAATTTTTATACTTTTATCCCTCTTTTCGAATTTGTATGTCTTTTACCCTTATGTCTCACAAAAAAATTTCACATTTTTAGTTTTATTCATCTAAAAAAAATTAAATTTTTACTTTTAGTAGGAAATTTGTAGTCTTTTTACATTATTTCTTATCTACATCACTTTTAAGTGTATAATTTTACTTTTTTTGATATTCGTGCATAGACAAAGTAGATTATTTTAGACTGATAGAATTATTAACTAAAAATTGCAGAATATCTAATTACAGTAGACCATAGATCAAACATATTGATAGAATGTGATGTGGTTTATAAAAAAAACAAGAGATTTCAAATAAGTATTTAAAAAAAAGTTAGATAAGGTCAAATCACAAAGTTTATTTTGAAACGAAAAATGTGTTTAAAAAGCGATCTCTCTTTGTTTGAATTAAGTTATATATCATCTTATAATTTTTTAAAAAATATTCTATAATCAATCATTTGGGACTATATATGCAAAAAAAATGATCATATTTGACTTAAAAGACTAAATTAGAAAATCACCTATTATACAAGAGTATTTAAGGAATTTTCTCTTTAAAATATGTCCTTATATTGGAATTCGTGTGGATGCAATTCAAATTTGTCCTTGCATTCCACACTGCCAAAAATAATGTTTAAGTTGGTATACACTTCTAGAACATGAGCATAACACACTGCCGTCATATCCAATATAACATGTATCCACACTGCCAAAGTATGATCATTCCACACTACCAAAAAATGTGTTTAAGTTCGTATACACATCCAGAACATGAGCATAACACACTGCGAAAAAGTGTAGTTAAATATTGTGAACCATAACACACTGTTCAAAACATGGGCATAACACTCTTCCGGAAAGTGTATCCACACCACGACCATTCCACACTACCAAAAAGGGTATGATTGTAAGAGATCCACGTCATAAATAGTTATATGTGTGAAAAACATTTACTAGTGCTATATGTGTAATATTAGGTGTCTTAGAGTGCTACATAGGGTGATTTCTATAAAGTATTATAATACTCCTCCCAAAATAAATTGACCATTTATTACTCACATAGTCAAACTTTATTCCCTTGTTTTACTTGTAGTATATGTTAATATATGTTTGTCACTTCTTGTTTTGATTTTTTTTTAATATTGTTTTAAAATATGTAAGTTTTATTTTTTAAATATACTCCAATTCTCATATAAATTTAATTAAAAATAATTTCAGTCAAATATCACAAATCAAAACGAGTAATTTAAATTGAGACAGAGCAAGTGCTTCCCTACTTTTGAGTAAGGTAAGAACAGCGTACACATGCCTTCCAAACCTTACATTCATGGGATTTGACAGGATTGTAGTTGTGTGATCGAAGTATTGTACTGAAAATTTGAATATCGTGAAAAGTTAAATAAGAAAAAGATTTATAAACGACACACTATACTTATTAGAGTCATATCCCAATAATCCCATATACACTCCTTTCCTCTTAAATTTTTCTTCTCATTTTGATTCTTTATGGTAAACGCTTTTAAACTTTGATCATAAATTACGAAAAAAAATAAATTTTAATAAAGATTTGATATCAATAGATTAAGTTTGATAATTATATTTTTTTAAGCGTGTGTTACCTCCCCCAACTTTTGACATTGGTTCTTTTAGAATTTTGTTAATAAAAAGTTTATTACGCACCATTCTGGTGTGTAAAAATCATCCTAAATAGGACTAAAACATAGAGAAAAGTACCAAAATAGGACTTTAATGTTTTTCCCGGAATAGGACTTTACATTGTGGTAATGCGACGTTGCATTGTGGTAATGTGGCAGTGTACATGTGCAAATTACTATACTTTCTTGGTAATGTATATGACCATGTTTGGTAATGTAAGTCCTATTTTGGAAATGAAAACATGAAAGTCCCTATTTTAGTATATTTTCAATGTTTTAGTCCAACTTTGGTCTTTCTCCCTTCTAGTGTGTGTATTGATTATTCGTTTAACCTTGTCCAATTGACACGATTGTCAACACATACGAGTATTCTACCATCCATATAAAAAGTTAATGTTCATTTTTCTTCTAAAAAGTTTATTAGTGTTCATTTTTTCTCAATTAAAGTTAATGTTTTTTGGTTGTCTTCGGTACTTCTTGGGCATTGAAGTCATCATTGATTATTCTAATTTTATGTCTACATAAATGGACGCAAGACACAAAGGTTATGCTGCCTTCCTTGTCTTCTTTTCTAATTGAACAAAATGGTAAAAATTATTACGTAGTAATAGTTAATAATAAGATGACACTCATTAACAAAAAAATATGATATACAAATAAGAAATAGGGATCGACTAACATAAAACATTACAATAAAAATATAAAATAACATATAAAAATAGATCAATTTATTTGTTTTTGGGAGTAAAAATTAAAATTTTGAGAAAGTGAGATTTAAAATAGGTGAGAAAGATATGAATGTTGTGTTTGTATATATAGGTTATAGTTATTAATTTAAAATTTTTCTAAATATAAAGGATTAAAGTTGAGAGAGATGCAGTATGCTCAGCAAATACGTAGACTCACTTACCGATTTTATTTGGTACCAAAAGAGGAAGGGTGGTGTTACTTGCTTTGTCAAATTTTGCTGTTCGACAAATTTTTCAAAATTTCAATTAATTGTTGTTTCGTCCAATAAAAATATGGCCATTTCACCCCATTTTTACTACGTACTCTGCTCCATATTATATTATTGTGTCTTTCAAATAGTGTTTTGTTTTTGTTTTCAGAACTATTTTGGTATATTAAATATCTTTTGACTTTAGAACCTCATGTCATATTATGATTTAAAATATTTACTTTGCTTCATTTATAAAATTAATTGTTCTTCTTCCCTTAAACCCCCACCTTGCCCCTCCCCCCAACACAACACTCCCTTGCCCGCTCTCTCCTCATTTTGCGGGTTGGCTACGGTAGATTAAGTATTCTGAGCGAAGGGGCGAATTTGTGGTACATTTTGAGGAAATTGATTGGTTTGAGAAGTTGAGCTTGAAACAATATTTGAGTTTCGCAGTGAATAAGAAAACTTCCACTTTCTCTATCGAGAAGTATATTGTTGCCCTCTCATCTACACCTCCCTCAAATTTCTCTACCTTATCTAACCATTTCCCTTTGTCGCATATATTATTGCCATCTATATTCTCCCTCATTAGTGATGCTTTTATTATTTGGTACCAAAGTTATTTCTTTTATGCTCTAGGAGTTATTTTGCTTTTTATTTATTTTATAAATCATTTTGTAAAATACTCAATCCAAAAAAGCTTATTCTCGTTAAATCAAATACTCCGTATTATGATGGAGATCGGGCCTAAACTATAATAGCAAGGTAACCTGCCGGCCCAATCATGTATACGTTAAAGAAGCAGCGTTAACGGCCCAAGTACGACCAAGTGGAGTGATTGGAATTAAAAGAGAATATATTGTACTCCTCCCATTAGTGATGTTTCATGTTTGATTAAAATTATTTCATATAATTTTATAAGAGAAATGATGTAGAATTAAAAAATAAAAGTTACTTAATTAAAAATTAGATAAAAAAGTGAGTAAATTCCATAATTGGTCCTTTATAATAGGGGGGTTTCCATATTTAGTCATCTATTATCAAATATTACCCCCGTAGTCCTTTTTTTAAGGGTACCTTTCCACAAATGATCCTTTTTTGATCTTCTGTCGTGTTGGTGTTAATTTAAAGGCTAAAAATATAATTTGACGTCAACATTATGTCTAGTGACGTGTTCTGATATTGGTTAAGCGGATAAAACAAAAACAATGACTATGATTGTGGGCTAGGATTCTGACAAAAGATCACATTTGTAGACTATAGTTGTCGTAAAAAGCGACTGTAATTCACAAACAACGCAAACGAAACAGCCTTTGGAATTGTGTATGACAAAAAAGATATATTATCATTGTGAAATTACACTTTTAGCCCTCAAATTAACACCAACATGATAGAAGATCAAAAAAAGGACTATTTGTGGAAAGGTACCCATAAAAGAAAGACCACTTGGGTAATATTTGATAATAGAGGACTAAATAGGGAAACCCCCTGTTATAAAGGACCAATTATAAAATTTACTCTAAAAAAGTCTACAAAATTAATAGTGACAGACGAACATAAGAAAAGAGTAAATTATGTTTAACATTATAAATAGTTAACATTCAATATAATTGGAGACAGATGAAATAAAACTACACATGTGAAATTAATAAAGTGAGGTGAAAGATTTGGATCTGGTCCTTCAAGATTTATGGATCTAGGATTCCTATTATAACCACTACACTCACCATGTATACATTATACATAGACCCTTCTCACCCGATGAAAGGATCCAAAATTTAATTGATACACAACATTTTGTGAGATGATTCTTTATTATTAAGGAGAATTTATCTAAATAATTCTAAAATATAATGAATTTTCTAATGTAGCACTTTATATTTTTATTTCCCAATATAGTACCACCGTATGATATCTACTAGTCATTGTTCAAGTAAATATCCAACACCACTAGACATTATTTAAGTACTATTTAAAGAAAAAATTGAAATACTACATTGAGTAAGGACATATGTTTTAATACTCCGTACAATTTAGTACGAAATTCACTTTGAATAATTGAAAATACATTGTAATCTAAGAACATTTCTTCTCTAAAAATTGCTATGCATCTTAAGTCAACCAAGAAACAAATTGAATAGAGTTGG